AGAAACATAATAGATGCTTAATGCATGCTTGTTGATTGACTGATGTGACCAACAATATATATTTTTTATCTATTCAGTATTTCCCGTATATATCATGAGTAAAATTCCCATTTGGGCCTGGTATAGGACAGCTTCCAAAGACATGAATGTCTTTGACAAGCATAATGTTTTATATCTAGTGTGATAGTTGATATGCTTTCCCCCAACTAGTTCATAGGAATCTAGAATTGGAGAAGAAATTGGAATGGCTCAAACCTACTATATGGCTACGAAGATGAGATGGCTACCAACGTTGAGCTCTCATGTGGTCACTTCTTTTTCAGGCCCCAGGCATCAGAAAAACCTTACTATTGCCCCCAAGCAGGGCTAAACTATCAAGCAGATGGTTTTTAACTTAATTTTAAAGATATTTTATTGATTATATTATATTTTGTTTTGACATAACAGATACATTCATCTCAATGATGGGAAGTTGCTACTTTCAGAGGTAGTCTGTTCCCTTGTTGGACAGCTCTGATTATTAAAAGGTTTTTCTTAGATTGAGCCCAAATCTGCCTACTTGTAATTTCAGTTCAATTCTTCAAATTTGTATTAAGTCCCTATTGTAACTGACATTTCTCTAGCATTTGTCTTAATCCACTGGAGAAGCAAATGGCAAACCACTCCAGTATCCTTGCCAAGAAAACCCCATGGACATGGGGTGCATATGGTACACAGGGTCACAAAGAGATGGACATGACTAAACAACAAGCTCTTATTGGGCTACTCTAATCAAATTGCAAGTTGCATCAAGGAAAGAAATTACTAGGGAGTTTTGCCTAATATTAAAAGATTAAATCTGTTTCTCTGCAATTTTTACTCACTGCTCCTCGGTGTGGCCCTTCTGGGACCAAGCAGAATAGGTCTGTCCCCTCTTCCATGCAATAACCCTTCAGTGACAGGCATTGTGCTAATCACTGGGGATACAAATAAGAAAAAGGAAGACAGTACCTGCCCTCAAGGAACTTACAATCTAATGGGGGAAGATAATATATGAAAGAAAGCAGAGTTGGGGGGGGCACCAGAGGGTATCTGGTGCTGGGTAGGAACCAAACAGAGCAGTTGATGGGGAATGAAGTTACTTGGGAAAATTCGACCTCTTTATAAAGGGAAGCCTGGGGAGAAGTTCAATGCTGCACACTCAGGCCCTCTGAGAAGTGGAGAGAAGCAATTGATGGCTCTGAGGAGGGATTGAGCATCAAAGCCAAATCAATCTCCAGGATGATGGTGATATCATAGGGAAAGCCACAATGTTATCCACTAAAATCCCTTTATCTTTTCCCCTATAATTAGTGTCTAACCAAACCTCTTCCAATACAGGCCTCAGCTTCCTTTTTCCTCCTCATTCTTTCTCAGATAGCTGATGGAAGGAGAGAGTGGGAGAGCAGACAACCCCATAGCATTTAGATCTGGAAGGGAACTTAGAGATAATCTAATTTAGTCCCTTCGGTTCTACTGATAGAAAGTGAGGGTCAAAGAATTTAAATGACTTGACCAAAGTCATAAAAGAATTAAATGACTATAAGTTCAATTTGTAGCTAGGACTTTAACCCCAAGTGAATTCCCAGACAACTGCTTGAAAAAGAAGCAAAGAGAAAGATTGAATTTATAGCCCTTACGAATTAATAATCATTGTTACTTGTAAACAGAACAATTTCAAAAGACTTAAGAATGTCAATTAATGCAGTGATTAGAAGTAATGATTCTGGAGGATCAGTGATGAAGTATGCTACCCACCTCCTGACAAAGAGGAGATGGACTGAATATACAGAACAAACATGATCAATATGGGGATTTGTTTTGTTGAACTATGTGTATTTGTTACAAGTGCTTTCTTTTTCTTTTTTTCTCCCAGTGAGGGAGAGAAAAATCCTTGATAATTTAAAAAAAAATAATTTCTTAAATTGGTATGGAACAGTGCATCTAATACCAGATTTTTTTTTGACTAGTTTTGATGAATTTCTCTCTCCTTTCTCCCTTTTAAACCAAATTCTTTGTGCTAAGAAATGTCTGTCTGAGGGTGGGGAGGAAGAGAGATACAGAAGGAAATATAGGTGATATAAAAGCAAGAGATTAATAAAAATCCATATTGTTAAAGCACAGTGAGAAAGCTGTAAAATTTTACCTGCGTCTGTTTTAAAATCTTGTTATTCATACCTCGTTTAAAAATATGAAATTGTATAATCCGAGTCAGAAGGGACCTCAAATATCATCTATTCCAACCTGTACCTAACCAAGAATCCACTCAATAACATACACACTTGATAAGTAATCATCTAATCTTTACTTCACACCCTCTAGTAAGAGGGAGCCCAATTCCTCTGGCAACACATTTGACTTTTGAATACCGCTGAGAATTAGGAAGTTTATCCTTTCCTCAAGCCTTACCTCGACTTGAATATAACTCCCACCCATTGCTGCTAGTTTTACCCTCTGGGTCCAAGCAAAATAATTCTATGACAGCCCTTTAAATACCTGAAGACAGAGGCCATGTCTTCACATCTATTTTTCCCCAGAATGGACAGCCCCAGTTTCTTCCACCAATCTTAATATGGCACGGTCTCCAGGCACTACACTCTCCTGACTTTCCTCCTCAGGAAGCTTTCCAAACAATGTCCAGAGCACAATACTTTAAGACACCGTCTAATCAAGGCAGAGAAAAGTGAGATTAGTCACAAGGAAGGAATGGTTACTTAGTGTCCATTAATGCTCCTTTGTTCAGTTCTTTCAGTCTTTTTTTTTTTTAAACAAAGTGTCTATCCCTCACCCCTTGCTCTTTCTGTCTTCTTCTTTCTCCCTCTCTCCCTCCTTCCCTCCCTCTCCTCTCTTCTCTCCTTCCTCTTTCCCTCCCACCCCTCTTCCCCCACCCCCACTCTTTTAATGGAAACCAAGCAGTTTGGACTCTGTGACTGAGGCACTTATGGCCAGCTGGTGGCAGCGTGTCCCAATCATAACTTCATCAAGCCATAGAGTGGCTCAGCGTTGGAAGAGACCGGCGGAGATCATCTGGCCAATCCCCTCGTCTAGCCACACGTCCACTTTATGAGAGCTCAAACTGTTAGGAAAATGTCCCTTATATTGACCTGAAATATACCTACCTATGACTTGTACCCAATGCTCCTGGTTCTGTTCTATGGCCAAGCACAATATGTCTAATTGCTGCTCCACAGGACAGCCCTTCAAATACTTGAAGACAATTCCCCCACCCCTCTCCTCAAGTCTTCAGGCTGATCATCCCCGAGTTTTTCATTGGTCCTTGTATGACACAGTCTCTGGTCCCCTCATAATTCTGGTCCCACTCTTCTGGATGCACTGCATTTTATTAGCATCCTCCCTAAAATGCATAATCTCCTTCAATCTGGGCATTGGAACTGTAATTATTGTAGTCTTAAAGTTACTTTCACCTTTTGGGCCTACTACTGACTCATATGGAGCTTGCAGTTTACTAAGAATCCCAGATCTTTGCAGGAGTATATGTGTGTGAGCTGGGCTTCTCTCTGACCTTTCCTGTCACCATCTTAACCAGAAGTCCCTGGGGCTATTCTTTTGAAAAATAACTGAGATGGGGAATCTTGTATATACACAGATCTTCATCTTGTACCAAAAACGTGGGATAACATCTTAGATCAGGTATGGTCATAACCACGGTGTACAAACTCTCATGGGTCCCTCTTTCCCCACCACTTGTCAGCCTAGGGCTTTTTCCACTTCTCTCCAAAGACAGACATTAATCTCCCTCCTTCATGACTCCCTCCATTAATTACTCAACACTGACTCCAACACTGATATGTTTGAAACCCCTTTGCAGGGTCCTACTTGGGTCATTCAGACTAACTGTTCAGCCCCTCAGAGAAATGCTGAGAATGGTCTTTGTTTTCCTTGTGTACATGGTAAAGAGAAAACTATAGCTTTATAAAAATAGAAAAACTATACACACCACAAAGGCTGTGTTGGCCAATTAGTGGACTCAGATTCACTGAAAGCGTAAGGCTTTCTGCTGCTGCCATATTCCTAGGACCCTATTCGGTAACTTTCATCTTCTTTCTTTCTGTCAAACGACTGTCACCATTTCAAAATCCAGCTCAGGCACAACCAATACTGGAAAGTTTGTTCTACAAACTCCAAATTTAGGAAAGACCCAAATTTCAGCGTCAGAAGCAAACTTGACCAGATTCCTAGCCTCATGCAGAGTGGGCTAGGTTACCACAGCTCTGATCCTAGAAAACTACTTTTTCTGGGAAGTCTTGTCTGAATCCCGCTTCACCCCACCTTTTCTGGCATAATAATAGTTACCAAAATCCAACCCTCCCCCACTCCCTCAAGACTTCACAGAATACTCTGCAACTCTCTCAAGCACTTGAATATACTTAGCGGCACAGGATTTAATTTCATTTCACCTGTGGTTTCATCCGTGTAGGAAGAGCTTCCCCGGGCACTTGGAAGTTGTGTGTTGTCCAGGGTGCCTCGGCTAGAATGAGAGGGACTTGAACCAAGGTTGTCACAATTCCTCTGCCACCCCTCTCTCCATGACCGGACACTGCCTCTCCATAAATATATGTATAGGTACATTTTGATTTTAGTTACTTGTGCATCTCTCTTATCTCAGTCTTATGAAGTTAAAACCATCCGAGAGGCTTCCAGTCCAATTCACAACTTTCCGGAAATCCCCCCAACAATATACTAGTGGGCAGGTAACCACTGCTTTAAGATCCCCAGGAATGGCATACTCACCACCTGAGAAAGCGGCTCATCTTTCCTTAGGTGGTCGTAACTCCCTATTAGACTAGCTCCAAGGGTGGGAGCTGTGCCTCAGCTAAACTATGAGTCTCTCCCATCACTTGTTTTTATCCATGTTTGTTGAACTGAGTTTGGCAAAGTCACCAGGGACTCATACCCAGCCCAGCCCTCAGCTCCTGCTTGGAGATACAACCCTTTAACAGAGCAAGCAGGCGACACAAAGCTGTGTGACAAAAGAATGATTTATTTGAACAATCTATGATAAAATTATATAAAATAACCCATTTTCTTAAAGACATCTACAGTGTCACCTGGGAATCAAATGTACAGATACTGCCTCCGATCCGGACAAAATAAATTACCACTCAGTGGGAAAGGGAAGGGGAAACAAACCAAACCAGAAAGGTGAGAGCTTGTGAATTCCTTCCCTCCAAAAACAAAAAAATTATACAACTATCATGGAGGGGAAGGAGTGGGGTAGAAAACCGGAGAATCAACCAGTGGAAGAGCAAGTCAATGAGTGAGGAGAGATGGACATTGATCATTTGTAAGGTACACGGACACACTCATGCATATGGCTGGCCCAAGACAGCGGGTATAGCCATCTCTCTCATTATATATACACCCAATGGCTGGGTCAGCAATGAGGAAGCACCAGGCAGCAGAGAGCGTGACCCCTCCCTCACCATAGGCATGCTTCAGTCTAGCCAATCCTGGAGGGGGCCACAGAGGAATATGAGCTTAGGCGAGCATACTCCAGGGATGCTGCCAAGGTTGAATTAGGAAGCAGAGAAAGGAACCAGGAGAAGCCATACACTTATCTGTCTATACTTTCTTCTGTTTTTAGTCTTTTTTAAAAAGTTTAAAAACAGAGCTCTTAAACAGCTGCATGTAAACATAGACACACTCCTGAGCTGGCCATAGGCCAAAGAACCCCCAGATCATTGGAAACCATCAGACTCACACTCTGTCAGGCCATTTGGACCTTGTCAGAGTATCTGCACCATTAGGAGGACTTTGACCTCAAGCACTCATCAATACAGCTAATCTTCCTAGACTAGGACAATGAAGGAGGGGGAGAAAGGGGCCATCCAACACCATCCAGCCAAGTGTCTGTTGGCAAACTCTGCTCTCCTCTGAGGCCTGACCTTCAGGATGCCTGGTGAATAGAGGAGGGGGGACATGCACCCAGAGTCCATGTCCTGGTCTCACCTGGGTCTGGATGGGGGCAGGGAAGCCAAGGAAGGATAAGACTAGGCTAGCTCTTTGGCTTATTGGGTTGGGAAAGTGAGGGAGAAAAGGTGTGAAACAGACCCAGCTAAGTTAGCATGTGCCTTGTTGGCAAAGAATCCAGGAAGAGCCGGGAAAAAAACGACAGAAATATTCATGCTGTAAAAATGTCTCCAAACTCCAATCCAAGTTTGCGGGTTCAGATTCAAATGACCTATTCTACAATTATAGAGATTTCCCAAGTGCCCCCAGGCACCTGGTTCATCGTCATAGCACTGAGGGTGAAAGGAGGGGAAGGAAGGAGTCATTCTCGCCATGTTGCAGGTGGAGAGCCCATCACAAGCCCAGAGAAGCGAAGCAATTTGCCCAAGGTCACACAGTAAGATGGTGCTGTATATTCTGCCCTCCTGTCTACAGCTGGGACTTCCATGCCATAATTTTTTGGCAGTCAGTCAGTGATGACAGTATCTAATTCCCGAAAATTCAGAAAGCAGCAGAGGATGTGGCAGGGGCAGGGCTCACAAGGAAGAACACTCTTCATTGTGCCCTTTTAGGGGGAATTTGAAGAAAGCTATTTGAGGAAGGATCTGGGCAAGGGAAGAAGAGATGAAAAAAATGACTACCTCCTCTGCCTCGTCTTCTTCCAAGGACAGACTGAGAGGTGCCTTGGCCCCAGAGCTGGGGGTCACGACTGACCACGGCCCTGCCTAGTAAAATTAGGGTCCCAATGTTGACATTCCCCCAACTGCAGTCAGCCAGACTCTAGGGCAGGTTTATGGGCAAAGGAGTGTCCTGAGTCTGGGGCTGGGGTCAGGCCAGGAGACAGGTGGAGCAGAGAAGCCCTGTTTTCCCCTGGAGTACAGGAGAATATTGGAATAGGCAAGGGCTCTGGACATTCCCATTGATGCTTCAACTTGGGGAAGTGGCTCGCTTTGGTTTCCAGAGGAGAGTGGAGACCTCTCTTCCCAGACTCTTAAGCAATCAGCCTGCCTGCCAGCATTCTGACTGTGGGCACGGTGACCAGGCAGAACCACCACTGCAAAGACTAGAGAGAAGACTCAGAAGTGAACACAGAGAAACCAGACCATGTGTGTGTGTCTACAAGTACACGTTGGTACACACACATGTCTGCGTTTATGTGTGCAATATACTTTTGTGCATGCCATATACATGCAAGTTATATGTAAGTGCCCTTGTGAGTACATATGCATGTCTGGGTGCACACATGACTGCATTCTGTATTTATCACCTTGTCTGCTCATCTTAGAGTTGCCAGGGCAAAGGAAGCCTCTCTAAGGAGTGTGCAGAACAAGGGGCACTGGGTCTCTCCTGAATGCCTGGCAATTTGGCAGGGTGAATGGCGACAAAGGGTGGTTTTTTTGCTGTGAACAATGAACTAAGTTTTTGTCTCCTGATCTCTTAGTGCTGGGACTGACCAGCCCCTGGTACCACAAAGGAGGCACCAGTCCTGTTTGACTAACATGGGTACCACAGAGCACAATGATGCTCACAGCCCCTTGCTCAGCGTGGTCTCTCTCACCAGGATAGGACTGTCAAGGGGAAATGGGGTGGCCCGGTAACCAGTAACAGTCTGCTCCAAATGAAGCCAAATAATGCAGGATGACATGTGTCCATGGTACACATCTCCCAGGAGGCTGAACTCCCTGAAAACCCCACTCTTCACAAACCTCTCCTTCCACTGAACAGCTCCCACACTTACTAACAGCACTTTACCCTCATCCTGGGTGATTCCCTAATGGCCTCCCATATGTAAGTCTCTCCCACAGATGGAACTCCTTTGGATCAGGGCCTGGGCTTCTATCTCCTGTCTCCCCCCAGAGTGTAAGCTCCTTGAGGGAAGGGAGTCTCCTTTTACTATCTTCCCCTTGTCAGGGCACGAGCACAGGACATGGCACACTGAGTAGGAATTCACTGAACAGCTGCTGACTGACTATTTGACCCGATAATGCTGGTATCCTTTAAGCTGCTGTGAAGGCTAGATCCAGGAGGGCTCATTGCTGGAGTAATCTGGCCAAAACCTGTGGGAAGAGCACCTGTTCCCTGAAGAACCACATGCAGATGGCTCTCTAGCCCCTAAGGGACACCAGCTTCCTAAGAGCAAACTTTTTTCCTTCTTTGCAAAAGCTAAAGAACGAATACCAAGACAAGACTCAAATCAGGCTAAAAGGACAACGATTTGGCTAGAGAGTGACCCTCGGCCTAGCTAATGCCAAGGTCATTCCAAAGGCAGGTCTACAAGAACCTTAATGCCACCTAGGCTTATCTGATGTCCCCTCTGGGTAGAAGCTCACAGCCTGGTGCTAATGCCAGATACATGGCATGCCTGTCAGGGGATTGGGAACCCATCCCATGCCACTGGATCAGATCCATAAGCTTATGACCAATTCCATGTAGACCCAACATTAAAGGGTGTCCATGGCCCTGGGAAGGAACACATCATCAAGGCCAAGACCTTACAGCCATGGATGATGAGTGAAAGAGAGGGGTGTGATTACTAGACTAGACTAGGGCAGGGCAGAGGAGCCCAGAAGAGGTGCACAGCTGGGCTAGCGATTTGGCACAAGTGGGATATCTGACGTAGCTAGTTGTCTAACAACTGCCTTAGGCCCAATAGGCTCAATTTCTTTGTACAAAGTGCCAGTGACTGACACAACAGCCCACAATCACACATACACACACAACACTACCACACCACTGGAATCACAGGTGGCCAGTGGCCAGCGGCAATGATGTAGGACAGGTCTTCATATCACAAACTTCTCTGCCTCAGGAAGGAAGGCAGAGTCCTGGAGTCGCGTTGAGCTGCAGGTGGAGTTCTGGGTGTGGTTTTTCATGGATGGTGTCAGGGAGCCCACCACTTCCTCAGTAGGAGGGGTGGGGCTAATAGCAGTCCTGACCTTATTAGCTGGCCTTAGCATTGACCCCGATGACAGCCTGTTGCCAGTCATGATGTCCAAGTTTCCAGTGGGGTCAATGATTGCATTGATAACTGAAAGGGAGAACAGAAAAAAGGGAGCATTAAATGCAGACGAGAATGGTAAATATTCACAAATCACAAGAGAGAGGATCCTCTGCTCACCCCATCCTCAAAGGGCATCTCATCTAGCCTCCTGTTTCCAGCCTCCAGCCCCTCCTACCTCAAGAAGCCAAAAAGCTTCTTGAGAGTAGGAACTAATTCATGTTTGGCTTTGTGTTCCCAGTACCTAGAATCATACTATTGCTGAATAAATGCTTGTTGATGAATTGTTTGAATGCCAAGGTCATTGATCCAATATTTCAGAAATAGAATATCATATTGTTACCTAATCTATCCTAACTTTTTCCAACCTTCTAGCATAAGTCAGACTTTCTAGAATCTCAACCCAGGACATACTGATTGCCCTCTTCTCTGAGTTCCTCTGCTGGCTGGGGCCCAGGGGTGGGGAACCTGCATCCAGCCCTATCTAAAACTCTCATTGGATTCTTACCACCTGTTGATTATTTAATCGCTTCTCATGTGTGAGTCCCATCTCCCCAACAAGGCAGAGATCTTAGTCTACTGTTGCTATGTTCCCTCCAAAACCGGCAAGGCCTGGATATCTTCCCATTCCTGTCTTCCTCACAGCAGAGGTGAGCACAGAAATAGGTTAAAAATTGGAGCTTAAAGGATATTTATGGAATTAAACTGAAGAGTTTAAAAATTACAGAATTTGAGACTTGAAAAGAATTTCAGCAGCCATCTAGCCCAACTTACAACCAAAAGGAATCTTCACTATAATCTATCCAGCAAGTGGTCATCTAGCCTCTGACTGAAGACCTCCAATGAGGGGGAACCCACTACCTCCCACAGCAGCCCCTTCCACTTTTGGACAACTCTAATTGTCAGAAAGCTTTTCCTGACTTCAAGCTTCAATTTACCTCTGTGTAGCTTCCAACCAATGCTACTGGGATCATCCAGAACAAGTCTGAGGCATCTTCCAAATAACAGGTCCTTTGAACACTGGAAGACTGCCATCTTGTCTCCCCTGAGTCTGCTCTTCTCCTTGCTAAACATCCCCAGTTCCTCCAACTAATCTTCATACAGTGCGGGCTCAAGGTCCTTACGTCCTCACTGCTCTCTTTTGGACCCTCTCTAGTTTATCATGGTCCTCTTTCAACCCCCAATACAGAATTGAATGCAATGCTCCAGAGGTGGTCTAGGCAAGGCAGAGTCCAGGAGGACTATCACTTCCTTATTTTTTAAAGCTATGCTTCTCTTAATGAGCCTTCTTTTCTTCTACACCCAAGGAACACTACTGGTGCTGCTGGTAGATGCAATTTTCAGTGCATACAATATTAAAAAAAAATTGTTTCTAACCACAGATCCTGTCCCACTGTATGCCCAGCCTTACATTCCATTCCACTGCAGGTGAGCTATCTCTGAGCAGCTATGCTAGGCCATATTAGGCTAGGTAGGGTTCCCAACCTGGATCTGCATGAGCAGAATGTCTGAAGTCACTAACCTTCTAGCTGTTTCTGGACTCTTCTTAGTTCCTTCAGAATGGAGCTGATTTCCTAGGGAAAAGAGAGAGGTACGTCAAAATTTGAAAGGCTCTCAAAGGTCTAGCACAATTCACTGTATTTCTTTTAAAATTTTTTTAGTACAATTTTATTTTCGGCTCTAAATTCTCTCTCTATTTCCGCTCCCTCCTCCACCCATTGAGAAAGCAAGAAAAACAAAACCCATTACAATATGTATAGTCAGACAAAACAAATTCCCACATTAGCCAAGTCTAATCTGTATATATACATATACATACACATATATATGTAAAAAGGAAGAAAAAAGATGTTTCAACTTACTCTGAGTCCATCAGGTTTTAAAATTTTTTTAAATTTAATTTTATTAATTTTATTATTTTTTTATCATGAGTACTTTGGGACTGTACTTGGTCATTGTGTTGACTAGCTAGAGTCACTCTTTCAAAGTTTACTATCTTAGCAATAATTTTTGTTATTGTATAAATTGTTCTACTCACTTTACTTTGCAACAATTCATATAGGTTTTCTCAGGTTTTTCTGAAACCATCCTTTTTTCCTTACATTTCTAATAATACAATAATATTCCATCACATTCATATACTATAACTTGTTCACTCATTCCTAGTTGATGGACATCCCCTCAATTTCTAATTCTTTGTCTCCACGGAAAGAGATGTTACAAATATTTTTGTATATATGGGTCCTTTTCTTCTGTCTTTGATCTCTTTGGAAGTATAAACATCTTGTAATAGCATTATTACTAGATAAAAAGGTATGAACAATTTAATAGTTTTTTGGGGTATGGTTCAAAATTGCTTTCCACAATGGCTGCATCAATTCATAGCTCCAACAACTGTGCCTCAGTATACCTATTTTCCCATAGTCCCTCCAGTATTTGTCATTTAACTTTTTCTGTCATCTCAGTGAATCTGATGGGCATGAGGTGGTACCTCAGAGTTGCTTTAATTTATATTTCTTTAATTAGTGATTTAGAGAATGTTTATATGACTACTAATAGCTTGGATTTCTTCCTCTGAAAATTGTCTATTCATATCTCTTGAACATTTATCAACTGAGGAATGATTCTTATTCATGTAAATTTAACTTCAGTTCCCTATATCTTAGAAATGAGACCTTTATCAGAAAAACTTGCTGTGAAGATTTTTTCCACAGTTTCCTGCTTTTCACCTAATTTTAGCTACATTGGTTTTGTTTGTGTAAAAACTTCTTAATTTTATGTAATCAAAATTTTCCATTTTACCTCCTGTGAATGTCTCTGTCTCTTGTGTCTATGTGAACTCTTCTCCTATCCATACATATGTCAGGTAATTTCTTCCATGCTCCACTAATTTGCTTATAATATCACCTTTTACATCTAAATCACGTAAATCTTTTGAGCTTAACTTGGTATATAGTGTGAGATGTTAATCTGTGCCTTGTTTCCACCAGATTACTTTCTACTTTGACCTGATTTTTCAAATACTTTCTGTAGTATTGAAGTTGTTTGTAAATATTTGGCAGAATCATTTATAAATCCATAAGGTCCTGGCACTTTTTTCCTTGGGAGTTAATTTATGGCTTGTTCAATTTCTTTTTCTAAGACAGGGTTATTTAAATATTCTGTTCCTATTCTGTTAAATTGGCCAATTTTGGTATGTTGTCTCATTGTTATCATTATCTTTAATAAAATAAAATTGAGTGTTTCTATAATTTATTCTTTGACACCATGCATTCTCTAGAATTAAGTTATTCAGTTTCCAATTAATTTTTAATATATGTTTCAAGAGCTTTTCATTGAATGTAATTTTTATCACATTTTGTTCAGAAAAAGATGCATTTGATCTTTCTGTTTTTCTACATCTATTTGTAAGATATTTACGCTCTAATACAAAGGCAGTTTTTGTGAAGATGCCAGGTACAGTTGAGAAATAGATATACTCCTTCCTATTTCCATTCAATATTCTCTAAAGATTTATCATATCTAACTTTTCTAAAATTCTATGCAGGTCCTTAACTTCTTTCTTGTTTATTTTTTGATTCAATTTATCTAAGCCTGAGAGAGAGAAACTGACATCTCCCACTATTTGAGTTTTACTGTCTATTTCTTCCTGTAATTCATTTAACTTTTCCTTGAAAAATTTAGATGCTAGGCCATTTTGTTTATGTATGTTTATTACTGATATTAAGCTATCACCTAATGGTACCTTTTAGCAAAATGGAATTTTTCTGTTTATGTCTTTTAAAGTAGGTCTATTTTTGCCTTTGCTTTGTCTGAGATCATGATTACTACCTTTGTCTCTTTACTTCAGCTGAAGCATAATAGATTATGCTACAGCCCTTTATTTTAACTCTGTGTATATCTTTCTGCTTCAAGTGTATTTCTTATAAACAACAAATTGTTTGATTCTAGTTTCTAATCCAATCTGCTATCGTCTTCCATTTTTGTGTGAGTTTATCCCATTCACATTCACAGTTATGACTGCTAATGGTGTATTCCCTTCCACTCTATTCTCTTATACTTATCCTTCTCTTTTTTTTCCTGCTCCTTTAAGAGTCTGTTTTGCTTCTGACTAATGGCTTATTCTACCGTTCTTATTTTCCCCTTTTCCTTCCTCTTTCCTGCTGGGTAAGGTATTTTTGTACTCAACTGCATGTATATGTATTCTTCCTCCTTTAACTAGTTCAAATGAGAGTGAGATTCATGTGTTGTCTGCTCTCCCCCTGACACACACAATGTCTCCTCCTTGTTGTATAAACTCCTCTTTTCACATTCCATTTACATAACATATTTTTTCCCAGTTTCTCTCCCTTCTCCCCTCACCCTCTGTACACTCTTTCCCCCTACCCATTCCATTCTTCTTTTGAGATCACCCAAACACAATAGAATCATACTCAGTTCCTCTATCCAATTAGACTCCCTCTATGACCCCTACTAATGATAAAATTCTGATGGGGCTGCATATATCATCTCCCCATGTAAGAATGTAAATAGTTTAACATTGTTTAGTTCCTCATGATTTCTCACTCATGTTTACCTTTTTATGTCTCTCTTTACTCCTATGTTTGTATGTCAAATTTTCTGCTCAGCTCTGGTCTTTTCATCAAGATTTCTTGGAAGTACTCTAATAGTTAAAGAACCATTTCGCCCCCTGTAGGATTATACTTTTGTTTTTTTTCGGAGTAGGTTATTCCTGGTTGTAAGCCTAGGTCCTTTACCTTCCAGAATATCATATTCCAAGCCCTTCAGTCCTTTGGACTTTATGTTAATGCTGGACTCTGGAAACTTCCAGGGGGATATCTGGCTTAACCTTCTACCTTCTTATTTCCTTTTGCTGCTTTCACAGCTCAGTCCAGGGACCTGCAAGCTTTCAGTGCTTTCAAAGTGATGTGATACAGAGGGAAGTCTGTTTACTACTTCCTGGTCTGAGTTACACGAGTTTCTAGCTAAGTTTTGCTCTATCAGTTTGTTTCTGGTTGAGAATTTCAGCAGGTTGCTGTTTGACTCAGCCACTATTGGTCTGCAGGAAGATTATATTAGTTTGGAGCACCTGAATTGCTAACTTTCTTTTGGTCTAGGACTTTGTGCTCTGTTCCAGAGATGACAACCACACAGTTACTGTTTGCTTCCTGAAAGGTGTTCCTAGAGGCAACATTCATGATTGCTCCTCTCTACCCTGGATCGGTGACCTAAAACTGGGGGGTGAGCAACAAAGCTACCAGATGGTCCCTGTTCCTGCATTCAATCCTTGCCCAGGTATCCTCTGGAATCTCTTTCTGGGACCTTATTTTTGCTCTCTCTCAGACCCTGGGTGCCAGAATGCTCCCTACTGCCACTTACTGCCCCTGGACCATAATCCTGTACAGATATCCCCCTGCCTCACCCCACCCCATCCCAGTGTATCTGTCTCTTTAAGCCACCCCTGGCTGGAAAAATGACTCACTGTGACTTCTTGGCTTTCTTGATTAAAATTCAATCTGGTGCATTCTTTAGATTTTGTCAAGGGGATGAGAGCTAGATTCTATTGCTTCCTCTCACTCCACCATATTTTGATTATATATTATTTCTACTGTCACAGCTATTTAAAAAATTTCACATATATAACTTCCAAATCAATCTAACCCTCCTAATGTCACCGAGAATTCTGGTTAAACAAACATAGATACCTTTTTATTTGTCAGATTTTCTTGCATTTATAGCTCCTAGATTTTATTATGTAGTATTTTATTGGAATGGTAAAATCAGACCAGTGTTTTTATTTTTTTCACTGGTAGAAAAAATATTGCACCCTTTTTTTTTTTACAACAATGACATTAAATTGTTAAATTTTTAATTAAAAAGCCAAAATTAATATTCATTTTGAAAGACCTTATCACAGTACTTGCATCCTAAACCAGCAATGCTGGAGAAAGGGCGGGGGGAATTCAAATCCAGCCTCAGGAACTCAGCAGCTGTGTTGTAACCCTGGGCAAGTCACTTAGCCTGCTTATCTTGGTTTCCTCAACTGTAAAACATGGATAATAGCACCTACTTCCCCAGATTGTTGTAAGGATCAAATGAGACAATATTTATAAAGTGCCTGACATACAATAGGTACTTAATAAATGCTTGTCCCCTTCCCTTCCCCTACAAGGGGCCCAGGCCAAAGGTGGGCTACAAACCTTGTAGTTTACTTACCTTATTGGATGTCTTCAGGATGGGCACTTCATTTTCCGAGTTGATCTTGGCCTCCATGTCTTCCCAGGTCCTCTCTGTGTTCTGGAAGAGAATCCTGTGGACACATTGCTGCTTAGCCCCAGGAAAAGGTAGAGGCTGGTCTAAAATCCACACTGCCAACCTCTGTGCTTTTTTGGGATTCTCCAGTTAAGGAACACCAATAAGTGAGCATGGGTATGTGTATCAGTATGTATGCCCATAGAGTAGTATAAGGAGCCTTGGGGATTTGGAGTCAGAAGGCCTGGTTTCAAGACCTGACTCCACTACATCCTGGCTATGTCTCCTTGGGTGAGTCACTTAACCTCGTTATACTGAAGGGAATGATGTCTGCACAGATTTGAACACACAAGGAGAAAATGTATAAAATACACAAGCTGAGGTATTTTAGAGGCTACTTAGGTGGTACAGTGGATAGAGCACTGGGCCTGGAACTAGGAAGACCTGAATTCAAATCCAGCATCAAATACTAATTGGCTGTGTGACCCTAGATAAGTCACTTAACCTCTGCCTCGGTTTCCTTAACTGCAAAATGAGGATAATAATAACATCTACCTCCCAGAGTTGTGAGGATCAAATGAAATAATTATAAAGCACTTATAGTATCTGACATATAATAGGTGCTTAATACTTGTCCTTCCTCCCTCCTCCTTCCTTCCTTCTTTCCTTCTTTCCTTGAACATTCTCAGTGACAGTTCTAAAGGCACTGACTGAGATTTACAATCAGAAGACCTGTATTTGAACTGTGGCTCTTATCAGTCACTCACTATGACTAGCTGAACTGTGGACACATACTGGTCATGGAAGCCCAGCTAAGTCAGTCTACCTCAGTGAATCTGACTTCCCTCCTCTGTATAATGTGGGTAATATTTGCTCTCACTGCCTCACAGAACTTTGAAAGGATATAAAGTAGCAGGTGTCACACTGTTATTATATGATGTTTGTGGGCATGTCTCTATGTGTGATCACATGTGTGTAAGGGTAGCTATGTGTCCTTGTGTGCATTCACATAGACATTGCACCATTGTGCATAGATACATGGGGTGGGAGATTGAGTTGGAGCCCAAAGTTTCCTTTTCCAGCTCCCCCCAGATCCAGCCCTATAGGACCCCCAGACCTCAACACTCACAAACACCACCCTCTCAGCCCATCTTTTATCGCTAGTTAAGTTCCCTTGAGTTTTAAGTTCCCAGAAGAATGTCAGAAGGCACAAGTTTAAATCCTGGCTCTGCCAAAACCTGTGACAATTTGGGCATGTCACTTCATTTTTTTTTCCTCTCTCTCTCTGTTTCCTCCTCTATAAAATGAGGGAGATAAACTAGATAGTCTCCAAGACTGCTTCTAGCTCTATAAGCTCTTCAGATTCTTAGCCCAGGATGTCATCATGCTCCCCCAGCAATGGCCAGTAGGATGTGAGGCAGTCCTGTCTGAAGCCAAGGACCCAGAAGCTCCAGCCCTTGACATTTTCTTCCCTTTCCCAAGAAGAACAAGGGGTATGCTGCCAAATGTTTAACAACCAGCTCTAACAATTAGCTCTCTAAGAAAAAAAGACCAATGTATGCATGATAGACTTTGAAGTTTAATCTGAATTAATAACATTTTCTCCATCACTTTCTTAAGTCTGGACAATCAATAATAAATCAAGCCCTGATTGGAAGTGTTTGCCTATTTCCAAGAAATAAATGCTCACACCGAAAATTAACAATTTGCTCTGATGAGCTCATTCACAATGGCTCCAGCATACCCTTTTGAAGGGCTCGGAGAGAGTTTTAGAATCATGAGTCCTGGGTTTGAATCCCAGCTTTGATCCTTACTATCTGTATGATCCTGGGCGAGTCACAACCTCTGAGCTTGAGCTTCCCCCTCCATAAAATAAAGGGATTGGACTAGATCAGCAGTTCTCTACAGACTCCTGGGAGTCTCCAAGACCCTTTTGGTGGATTTGCAAGGTCAAACTTATTTTTCATAAGCATTCTAATACGTCACTTGCCTATTAAAATACCCCCTTCCCATACATATCTGTGTGAAACCAGATTTTCTTAATATGCTTTAACCAAAATAACAGATCATTACTGATTGAATGTAGAAGCAGATGAGAAAATACTGTTGTCTTCTATTAAGTCAGACAGTAAAGAGATTTGCAAAAACATGTAAAACAATTCCACTCTTCTCACTAATTTTATTTGTTTTAGAAAATAGTTATTTTTAATAAAAATATATTATTTATATGAAACACATCATGGACTTATTTTTAAATTAAATAATAAATATTTAAAATTTTATGTTTTTAATTTCTAATGCTATAAGTACCGATAGCTATAACCCACATAAAACAAAAGCTCAATAATTTTTAAGTCTTGAGTCCTTGGGATCTTGAAACCAAAAAGTGTGATCTCTGAGGGCCACTTCAGCTCTTAAATCCCATGATCCTAGAGCAGGGCCCTGAGGGTTTCCTGGCATAAGGAAAGTAGACTGAGTTTCCTGCTAGAAGGAAAGGCCAGGCCCCATATTCCGCTGGACAAGAGGCTCGATCACCAGGAACATTGCTCCCTCTTAGTAACTGTTCCCTCTCTGACCTCCAGATGGCCTCCGTTAGTTGGTCACCACCCCCATCCAGATAAGACAAAGCAAGAACAGTCTCAACCCCAGTGGGCGTAGGGCAGAAAACTCACTTCATTTTCTCCGCAAGGTTTTCCGTGTTCTCCCGGATTGTGTGGGATAGCTGGGAAACAGGATTCAGCATCAGGTTATCAAAGATCACCTGCAAGGAAGTTAGCATGAGCATGGTTAATGTGGAAAAGGGGTGGGGAACTTCTGGCCCAAGGGTCTATATCAGCCCTCAGGATACACTGTGACCTCCCTACTGTAATTCAAGAGACATTTATTAAGTACTTATTATAGAGAAGGCTCTATTGCAGATACTATCAAGATGAAACTTGGCAAAGATCTGCCCTCACAGAGCTTTCCATCTAATACGAGGAATGTGATATGTAATTTATCTTTGCCCTTTCCCATCCTGCCCAGCACCTAGCACAATGCCCTGTATTCAGAAGGCACCTAATAAATGCTTGCTAATGCTAACAACAAAACAAAATAATAACTAGCATTTATATGTGCCTTAAGGTTTACAAAGCACTTTACATATATTATCTCATTTGATCCTCCCCAAAATCTAATGAGATGGATTCTATTATTTATTATTCCTATTTTACACATGAGAGAACTAAGACTAAGAGAGGTTAAATAATTTGTCCAAGGTCATAGAACTAGTAAGTGACCAAGGCAGGATTCAAATTCAGGTCTTCCTGTCTCCAAATGCAGCACCGCATCCACAAAACCTTCCTGTCCTTGGCCCCCTGCTGCCACCCCAAACTAGAGGGCTGCTGCCAGACTGAGGCTCAGTCAACAAATGCGTTAACTGCAGGGTATAATAAGCTCCATATTATTAATTTTAAAAGGAGGTGCATTTTTGGCTTTTCTAAGAGGGACAAAAACTAAGTTCAAACACCCTAACTTTCTAGTTCCTCAATTTGCTCATTTCGCATGCCCTATTCCTTTACCCCACCACACACAGGCATGGTCGTATCCTTGACCCTGCCATCACCCTCAAATGTTCCACTTCCATGGAACTGTGAAATTCTGTCATCTCATCCTAACCTGTGGTGATTCTATTGTTCCCTCTGCCTTCCAGTCTCTTATCTTATTCTTTGACTTCACTGTGTCCTCCACTCCCTCTATCCCTCAGTTGTTTCCCAGGCCATCACCCATGCAGTGGTTTCCTCCTCCTTCCTCATCTTGACCCCTTGGTGAACTAGTTCAACTACACACTATTTTCTACTCTTACCCCTATTGCTGATCTTGCCCTGCCAAGCCACACCCTTGGATTACTCCCACCAACTGCTGCTTTTGCTTGTTCCCACACTGCCGAACTAAGATGGAGGTGGAAAAATCACAAAACTGTTGACTGGGTCCACTAAAATTTTATGTTAATCTCAATTGTTAACAAAGCAATTCTTTCATACCTTCCTAATCAACTTACTGCTCCACTCACCATACCAGTTTTTTCAATCCTTTTTCATCCCTTCTCAAACTCTCCTTTCCCCTATTTTCTCAGCAAAGAACCTTGCCTCATATTTCACTGAAAAAATTGAGCCCATTCTCTAAGAGCTCCTTCTGTCTTATATCACTCAGATGTTTTTTGGCCCCAGCTCCTCCTCCATTTCTGTCTCAGATGAAGAGGTAGCCTGTCTTATTGCCAAGTGATCCTATTTCATTCTGTCCTCTGCAGAAGACTGTCCCTCTATCATACCCACTCTGTCACTAATCTTCACTCTCTTCCTGTCTACTGACTGTCTCCCCACTGCCTACAAACATACCAATCTCTCCTCTATCCTCAAAAACCCCTCACTTGACCTATCTCCACTGGCTATTGTGCTATATTTCTAAAGCTGTCTACAATTGGTGCCTCCATTTCCTTTCATCCCACTCTCTTATTAATTCTCTGCAGTATGGCTTCTGACCTCAGCATTCAAATTAAACTTCTCTCTCCAAAGTTACCAATGATTTCTTAATGACTAATTCTAATGGCTTCTTCTCAATCCTCATCTTTCTTGACCTCTTTGAAGCTTTTGACATTGTTGATCACCCTCATCTTGATAACCCTCTTTTCTCTAGGTTTCTATGGCACTATTCCCTACTGGTTCTCCTCCTACTAGTCTGATCTCTTCTCTCAGCCTTCTTTGCTGGATCATCCACACCATGGCTGATAAAGGTGACTGTCCCCAGGAATCTGTCCTAGGCCCTCTTCACACTCAAAAGGACTCAGGATATAAAATGCTGTTCACCTCCAGCTAGAGAACAGATGGACTCAAGAGTACAGACTGAAGCATTTTTTACCCTTCTTTATTCTTCTTGCTGGGGGGAGGGAGGAAACGTGGAACATGGCTAATATGGAAATACTATTATGCATGACTTCATATGTTTAATAGGTATTGTATTTCTTGCCTTCTCAATGGGTTGGAGAGGGAGTAGAAGGAGGGATAGAATTTGGAACTGAAAATAAAATTTTTAAAAAGATGTCTACAGGACATTCAGTTTGAAATGTACAATAGGTATTTGGAGATGGGAGACTGGAGTTAAGGAGAGAGAATAGGGCAGGATAAATAGGTCTAAGAATCATCAACATAGAGATGATATTTGAATCATGGGGGCTGATGAGATACACCAAATGAGATGCTATAAAAGAGGAAGAGGGTGATCAACAATGTCAAAAGATTCAAAGAGGTCAAGAAAGATGAAGATTGAGAAGAAAGAGGGGAAGAGAATAAGAGAAAGGGGAAGGGGGTGATAAAAGGGAGGGTGGATAAAAGAAGGCAGTGGTCAGAAGCAAAAGAGACTTTAAAGAAAGGACAGGATAAAAAGAGAGAGAGAATAATAAAGAAAAGGTAAATACAGTTAGTAATCATAACCATGAGTGTAAATGGGATAAACTCACTCACAAAATGGAAGCAGATAGCATAATGGATTAGAAAATGGAATCCAGAAATATGTTGTTTACAAGAAACACACTTGAAACAGAGGCACACACAAAGTGTTAAAATAAGGAGCTAGAGCAGAACCTATTATGCTTCAGCTGAAGTAAAAAAAGACAAGGGTAGCCATCATGATTTCAAACAAAGCAAAAGTGAAAATAGGCCTAATTAAAAGAGATAAGCAGGGAAATTACATCTTGCTAAAAGGCACCATAGACAATGAAGTAATATCAATACTAAACATATATGCACCAAATGACATATCATCCAAATTCTTAAAGGAGAAGTTAAATGAATTACAGGAAGAAATAGACAATAAAACTATAGTAGTAGGGAACCTCAACTTTGCCCTGTCAGAGACAGATAAATCTAACCACAAAATAAATAAGAAAAAAGTTAAGGAGATGAATGGAATATTATAGAAGTTAGGTATCACAGACCTCTAGAAAAAACTGAATGGGAATAAAAAGGAGTATACTTTTTTCTTAGCTGTACATGGCACCTACGCAAAAATTGGCCATTCATTAGGGCATAAAAACCTCACAACTAAATATAGAAAAGCAGAAATATTAACTGTACCCTTTTCAAACCACAATTCAATAAAAATTACATTCAATAAAGGTGTGTGGAAGATTAAAAATTACTGGTAAACTAAATAATCTAATCCTAAAGAATAAGTGGGTCAAGGAACAAATTATAAAAATAACAAATAATTTCATTACAGAGAATGACAATGAGAAACCATTCCAAAATTTGTGGGATGCGACCAAAGCACTACTTAGAGGAAAATTTATATCTCCAAATACATACATCAATAAAAGAGAGAAAAAGAGCAGATCAACAAATTGGGCATGCAACTAAAAAAACTAGAAAAAGAACAAATTAAAAATCACCAATTACACACCAAAATGTAAATCCTGAAAAATCAAAAGAGAGAATAATAAAATTGAAAGTAAAAAAAAATCTAACTAATAAATAAAAGTAGGAGCTGGTTTTATTGAAAAAAAAACATACAAAAATAGATAAACCATTGGTTAATTTGATTAAAAATAAAAAGAAAGAGGAAAACCAAATTACCAGGATCAAAAATGAAAAGGGTGACTGTACCACCAATGAAGATGAAAATCAATCATCAAAATAAATTAATTAAGTTATTTTGCCCAATTATATGCCAGTAAAACTGACAATCTAAGTGAAATGAATGAATATTACAAAAATATAAACTATCCATATTAATAGAAGAGGGAATAGAGTACTTAAATGATCTTATCTTAGAAAAAGAAATTAAACAAGCCATAAATGAGCACCCTAAGAAAAAGTCTCAGGACCAGTTGGATTTACAAGTGAATTCTACCAAACATTTAAGGAACAGTTAATACCAATATAATAAAAATGACAATTCTATATAGGTTAATTTACTTATTCAGTGCCACACCAATCAAACTATCAAAGAATTATTTTATAGAGCCAGACAAAATAATGACAAAATTCATCTGGAAGAACAAAATGTCAAGAATATCAAGGGAATCCATGAAAAAAAAAAGTGAAGGTAGGTGCCTAACAGCATCAGATTTCAAACTCTATTAAAAAGTGGTAATCATCAAAACAAACTAGTACTGGCTAAGAAATGGAGTAGGCACAGATTAAGTATACAATACACAGTAGGCAATGACTATAGTGATCTAGTGTTTGATAAAACCCCTAAGATCCAAGCTTTTGGGGTAAGAACTCACAATTTGACAAAAATTACTATGAAAACTGGAAAGCAGTATGGAAGAAACTAGGCATAGACCAACATCTCACACCATAGACCAAGACAAGGTCAAAATGGATAAATAATTTAGACATAAAGGGTCATATTATAAGTAAATCAGGGAAGCATGGAAAAATGTGCCTGTCAGAGCTATGGATGAGGGAAACATTTATGACAAGACAAGAGATAGAGAAGATCATAGGAAGAAAAACATATAATTTTGATTACATGAAGTTAAAAAGCTTTTGCAAAAACAACACTAATGCAGCCAAAATTAACAGGAAAACTGTGAAAAAAAATTTACAGCAAGTTTCTCTGGCAAAGGCCTCATTTCTCAAACATATAGGGATCTAAATTTATAAAAATAACAGCCATTTCCCAGTTGATAGATGGTCAAAGCATATGACTAGGCAATTTTCAGAAGAAGATATCAAAGCTATCAATGGTCACATGAAAAAATGTTCTAAATCACTACTGATTGGAGAAATACAAATTAAAAGAACCCTGAGGTGCCACCTCACACCTATCAGATTGGCTAATATGACAGAAAAGGAAAATGACAAATGCTGGAGGGGATGTGGGAAAATTTGGAGTTGTGAACTAGTCCAACCATTCTGGAGAACAATTTGAAACTATGTCCAAAGTGCTACAAAACTGGGAATACCCTTTGACCTAGTAATACCACTACTAGGTCTGTATCCCAAAGAGATCAAAGAAAAAGGGAAAGGACCTATTTGTACAAAAATATTTATAGCAGCTCTTTGTTGTGGTGGCAAAGAATTGGACACCAAAGGAAGGCTCATCAATTGGAGGATGGCTGAACAGGTTATGGTATATGATTGTGATGGAACACTATTTTATAAGAAATGACGAGCAGGATGGTTTCAGAAAAACCTGAGAAGATTTATATGACCTCATGCAAAATGAAGTGAGCAGAACCAGAACATTGTGTATAGTAATAGCAATATTGTAAGAATGATCAATTGTGAAAGACTTAGCTACTCTAATTAAGCCTAATCTAAAACAATTGCAAAGGATACATGATTGGGGGGGAACAAAAGCTATCCACCTCCAGAGAGAGAACTGATAAACTCTAATGCAGATTGAAGCATACTTTTTTTTTTTTACTTTCTCTGTTTTTCTTTTCTTTTCTTTTTTGGCTGTTTTCTTTTGCAACATAGCTAATATGGAAATATGTTTTGCATGAAATTACATCTAGTCAATATAAAATTGCCTTCTCAAGGAGGGAGGAGGGGTGAGAGGGATAGAGAGAAATTGGAATTCAAAATGTTAAAAAATGAATTCTAAAAAATTTATATATATATCTCGGAAATGTTTAATGAAATAAATAAAAAAAATTTTTTAAAGAAAGAAGCATGCCTCTTCTCGGTTCCTGGGCCGTGTCCTCCAAGCATAATTGTCATCCCGATTGTCATTCATGTTCTGGTCAAAGTCCTTCAAACCCATGGCACCAGGTGGCACCTTTTGGAAGTTGAGGCTGGCTTCTGGGATGTGCTGTACCAGCTGCAATGAGAAAGGACACATAGAGAGAGAGAGAAGTTCTCCAGGAGCTAAGGAGAATGACTGAAGGCCACAGACCTGACAGCCAACATCCTGTCCTGACGCATGCATGCACACACACATGCCTCTCACCAAATCCACAGGCATTTCCAATCTGTCTCTGATATTTGTAGCACTCTTCATCTTTTCCAAAATAACTTTCCAGACATTGCCTCACTCATCCCCAATACCCTCTGAGGTAGGCAGAGCTGCTATTACTGTTCCCATTTGGGAGATGAGTAAAGAAATACAGAGAGGTTAAATGACATGAGGAATAGTGGAACGATAGCTGGAATGGGGTGAAGACCCGGGTTCAAATATCAGTCCTTTTACCTATTATTTGTGTGAACCTGGGAAAATCACTTCCCTTTCTCAAAATTGGTTTCCTTATTCACAAAATGATGGGTCTAGATTAGATGATCTTCAAGGTTGCTTGCAAGCTTTAAATCCTATAATCCTATAAATCACATAAAACATTCTGTATGAAAAAGTTGAGGAAGCAAAAAAAAATCTATGCTATCTTAGATCATATTAAGAAGAGAGGAACAGCATTCAAAATAAGGGAGATGATGGTCCTGTCATGTTCTGATCTTGTTAGACCCTTTTATGGATCTAACTGTTATGTCTAGTTCTGATGCTATATTTTAGATAGACACTGATAAGCTAGATCATGTCTAGAGAAGGAAGACCAGACTGGCAATAGGACCAGAGATCAGGCTCAGGATCATGGATCAGTTCAAGGAACTGGCTCAGAAAAGGCTTAGGGGAAGATGATAGCTTTCTTCAAATGCCTGAAGGGCTGCCATGAAGAAGATTAATCAGGCTTGTTTTGCATGGCTTCAGAGGGCAGAATGAGAAAGGAGATAGATTTTAAGCCTCTTACACAGAGAAACTCCCAGTACTCCCAGCACAGTGCCTGGAACAGAGTAGGTGCTTAATAAATGTTGTCTGATTAGTAATCAAAATTTTCCAAAAATAAAATAGGCTTTCTTTGTAGGTAATGAGTTCCCTATCAATGGAGGGCTCCCAATGGAAGTTTGAGCTGCTTTGTAATAGGACCACAGTCTCCTCTATTTTCCCATTACAAGTACTAGCTTTCCCTAAAAATGCAGCAAAGCTGTCTCTGGGACCTGATTGGCCCCTGCTTCCACTGATGCAGCTTCCTCATCACCTAAGTCCCACTCACATGGAGTTGGAGCCTCTCTAACTTGGTGGATGTCTGAAGACCGTGTGAATCACCATACTCTGCCCTGCTGACCAGATGACTTCTACTGGTGGCCATTTCTATTTGGAGAAAATGCAAGACTGTGTCTATGAAAGCTAGGTGCCATTGTATATTTATTATATATCCTTGCTGTGTTAGGACAAAGTCACCTTTTGTTTACTGTTCAATAACTTACAAGTGCCTAGTTTTGTCCCAAAATTAAACTTAACTGATAGGTGTCGGATCCTCCCTTAACACACTTGCAGGGGATTGTGGAAAGGTAATTCACACTCAGGGTGTAGACTATATGCCCTCTGAGGTTTCCTCTAGATCTGAGATTCTATGGCTCCTCCTACAAAAATAGAATTCCAGATAAGAAATCCCCAGTTCCATCAAAGGCTACTCTGCATCTGATTTCTGAAGGGAGATAAACAACAGGTTCATACACAGAGCTTTATTCCATCTCCAGTTACAGCTTAGCCCAGAGGTGTTGTGATGAGCTCAGAGGCTCAAGGAAAAGGAGGAAATCTTGCAACTTCTAAGAAAGTGGGGCAAAGTTTCCATCCAACTGATCAATCAACGAAAATTTAATGATCATTTAATATGTGCCAGGGTGGCAAAGTGATACAGTGGATAGAGCACCAGGCCTAGAGTCATAAAGACCTGAGTTCAAATCTGGCCTCAGACACTTACTAGCTGTGCGACCCTGGGCAAGTCATTTAACCCTCAAGTTTCCTCATCTGTAAAATGAGCTGGAGAAGGACACAGCAAACCATCCCAGTATATTTGCCAATAAAACCCAAATGGGGTCACAAAGAGTTGGACATGACTGAAATAACTGAAAGATATGTGCCAGACCTTGAGCTAAGCCCTGATGGCAAGCATTTAGGTGTCTCTATCTGTTCCAGAGTGAGAATAAAGATTTTCCAGGAAGCAGTGTAGCCTGCAAAAATGAAGTCAATTGCCCAAAGCCACATAGCTAGTCCTCCAGGACACAGCTGTCCTCCTCTGGGTAGATCCTACTTTCAGGCTCCAGGCTCCATGGTCCTGAGACACCAAACATAGCTCAATCACAGAACCACTCCCATTTTAGAGGTAAGGGAGAGAATACTGCACATGCCATCGGACACAGTTGACGTGTTGATTGGTTTTCATGAATTGCCTTTCTTTTTACTCTGTTACAAGGCATAGCTTGCTAGATAGCAGGGTAAGGAGGTAATTATTTGGAAATGGAAGTGAGATGAAAAACCAAAAGATAGCAATAAAGATTTTTTTTTTTCTAGAAACAGAAATGCTTATTGAATTATCATCCTGGACATTTATGGATGAGTTGATTGAGGCTCAGTGAGTCTTGCCCAAACTAGCATAATGCCATAGAATTTTGTTCTTCTGAGAACTGGACAGGACCTTAAAGACCATCTAGTCCAACATCCTCATTTTATTGCTAGAAAAACTGAGACTCAGAGAAGAGAAGGGACTTGTTCAAGGTCACACAGCAAGTCAGTACTAAGCTATGGCAATATTGGAACCTACATCTCTTCTAGGAGACCTAATCCATTGAGCCACACCACCTCCCTATTAATCATGTTTGTTAAACCAAGGGGATACAGAAATCTCAAGAGCCCTCACAAGGACCTTCAGCTCATGGCTTCCCTATCAGAATTTATGCAAGGTTAGGTCATATTATCTGAGGCTCTGGTAATTAGTGGTAGCCACTCCCACTGAAGAAACTCACCTCCTCTCGGGCAGAAATAGTGGAGGCTGGGGTGCTGGGGACAGAGTTGAGTGAGGTGCCACGGACAGTTCCTGAGGAACTCTGGGAGTCTCCATCCCCAGCCACATCCTGGATCTCTCTCGCCAAGATGGCAACATCTTTCACCAGAGTCTGGCTTAACCTGCAGCCAAAAAAGATAGGCAAGGCCAGTTCAGAATATCTCCAAGCTCCCAGAAGGCCAAAATAGCCCAATTCAGCTTAGGGGACAGGGCAGGCTCCATTAGGAAAGAACCCTGACCAAGAAAGAAGCTGCCCTGTTTGTCCTCCAGTGGGGAGTGTGGAGGGGCTGGAAAAAGGGACAGACATAGCAGTGACCTGAACCCTGGTACCAGGACCAGCTTTACCTATTCCCAGAATAAGTAGGCAATTTGAGAGTGGCTAGGTCACTCAAGTCACACTCACACCATTGGGCCTGACATGTCATAATCTCAGTAGAGTTGGGCCCAATGCTTCCCTATATAACTCATAGGGCAAATCCCTAGGAGATGATTTTTTTCTTTTCACAGCACATCAAACTCTGAAGCATAGACCTACCTGATTCTCTGCTGCAAACAGACATGTCTGGATACTCCTTATCCTTAAAACCCTCACATGACCCTGCCATATCTTTAAATTATATGTGCTCCTTGCTGCCACCTCCTCTCCCCTTACTCACATCTTAACCTTTACAATCTGGCTTCTGATCACATCATTCAACTGAAACTGTCCTCTTTAGACATAAGTTCTCTCTGACGGCCTTTTCTCAATTCTCAGCCTTCTTCTGATCTCTCTACTGCACTGACGTTGCTGACCACTCTGTCATTCTGGCTGCTCTCTTCTCTCTAGATTTCATGACACACTCTATTTTGGTTCTTCACCAACACATAAACATACCGCCATTCTTTTTTCCTGGATCATCCATATCACACCCTCTAACCGTGAGTGTACCTCAAGGCTCGGTCAGTCCTGGGTCCTCTTGTTTTCTCTGCACCCCTTCTTGGTGATCTCAGCAACTCCCATGGGTACAATGATTATCTACACAGATGACTCACCAACCTACATATCCAACCCTAGTTTTACTGCTGAGCTCCAGGCATCTACTCAATTTCAAAATGTCCAACATGTCAACGTGTCATTACCTTTTCTGTCAAACTGATCCTCTTTTCTGGACTTCCCTATTTCTCTTAAAGACCCTACCATCTTTCCAGTTACCCAGATCTACAAATTCAAAGTCATCCTCAATTCCAATAAGTTTCCCAGTCTTGTCACTTCCACTCCAACAATATCTCTCCCATCTACCCCATCTTATTCTCATCTCAGGGCCACCACCCTCTAACCTGGATTACTGCAATAGCCTTATTGATCTCCCCGCCTTGTCTCCTCTCCAGTCCATCCTCCCTACAGCTTCCAGAGTGATACTGCTAAGGCACAGGGCTCACTGTATCACTCCTTGCTCAATAAACTCCAGTTGCTTCCTCTTACCTCTCTGTATTTAACTTTTTTTTTTTTTTTGGTATTTAAAGCTCCTCAAAATCAGGTTCCAACCTCCCTTTCCAGGATTATCATTCATTACTCCCTTTTTATGTACTCTTCAATCTAGGCAAACAGACCCCTCCCCATCTCCCATTTCTATGCTTTTGTACAGTTTATCTCATGCCCAGAGTCTGTTCCCTTTTTAGGTCTACCTCTTAGAATTCCTAGTTTCAGATTCAATTCCTTTATTTTTAGTTTCCTAGTTTAAAAGTTTAGCTCAATTGTCACCTTCCATATGAAGTACTCCCCCAACCCCTTCCCTCCTCTCCTTTCCAGCTGCTAGTGCCTCCCTCCATCAAACACTTTGCAGTTAATTTGTATATATTTTATTGCTGCTTATATATGTAAATATTGTCTCCCATGTTGCTGTAACTTTATATCCATGCTCAAGATTTAACGTGTCAGTAGTAGACTCAATAAATGCTTGCTGATTAAATGTTTTTTTTCCTGAGTTTACCAATAATTAGACAAATGTACAAAGAAGAGATTTGAGTTATGAAATTCCCCACAAAGAACAGAAGAAATCATAGGTGATGATGTATGGAACGGCCCCTAGTTTTGGAGTAGGAAGGCCTCACATCCGGCTATCTAGCCTTACTATCATTTGTGACCTCTGGCAAGCTACTTAACACCTTTAGGTCTATTTCCTCATCTGTAAAATGAATGTGTTAGGTCCCTTCCACTTCTAAATCCTATCTATGAAGCCATGAACAAAGTCAGCCTTATAAATTTAAAACAAGAACAGTTTTCTAACCATTGGGTATCCATAGAGCTGTCATATTATCCATCCCAGAAAAAGCAGCTGACTTAAGGGATACTTGTTGATTTCTCCCAAACCAGTCCCAAAACATCCCCATTCTCCCTTGAGACCACTGCTAAAATAATATTCCTAAGTGATCATGTCATTCTCCTACTCAAAAAACCTGGAGCATTCTATTGCCTACAGGAGAAAAATATTAGTTCCTTATCTTAGGATTCACGGCCTTCTATACAATTAAGCTCCTACCTTCCTAGCTATAATATTCCAAGCAAATTAGACTGCTATTCCTCAATCTCATTTGTCCCTTTCCCACCATCATACATTATGTAAGCCACCCTCCCATGCTAGAATTCACTCTTTTTCCATCTCTGCTTAATGAAATCTTCCTCTTCCCTCAAAGGTGAGCTCAAATGCTGTCTCCTACTATGAAGAATTCCCCAATTTCCCACAGCTAAAAGGATTTCCCTCTTTACTCAAATTTTCTTAGAACACATTGTCTAGATCTCTTTTATCACTATCAGACTTTGTTTCATACTTATTTGTGTTCAGAGAATGGGAAGGAAACAAGCATTTATCAATTATAAGGCAGTATTTGAAGTGTCTTACAAAAGTTATCACATTTAATCCTCAAAATACAAAAGCTAAGTGCTCAGGGTCACAGAGCTAGTAAGTTTCTGGGGCTGGATTTGAACTCAGGTCTTCCTGACTTTGGGCCCAACATTCTATCCACCTACCTGCCAATAGGATATAGTTTTGAATTGAGTGTATCAGTAGGGCTCAGGATACACTGAGCTATACACATACACTTACTTAGTCCTCCTTTTGACCAAGAGCAAACATTTGTGAGAACAGGTTAGGGCTTAATCTGGGGCTGGGACCAGGAATCAATATGTGTTTAGGGAATAAAACAAAGCTAATTCAACCATATTTAAAACTATAACTTGGAACCTATGAGAACAATTCCCAAGAAATGATAAAGGGGACAGTTTCAGAGAATCATGGAATGATTTCTATGAACTGATACACAGTAAAGTGAACAGAACCAGAAGAACAACTCTTATAACATTGTGCAGATAAACAACTTTGAAAGACTTAACTCTGACCAATGCTATGACCCAATCACGATTCCAGATGATGAAACATGTTATCTACCTCTTGACATAGAGGTGATAGATTTGGGGTGCAGACTGAGACATACACTTTTTGGAAATGGCAATGCAGTAATTTGTTTTGCTTAAATGAAAACGATGGGGAGAGGCAAGAAGGAGAAAAAAATAGGTTATTGTTAGTTAAAAAGTGAATTAAAGTTAAATCAAGAACAGTTTTCCAACCACTGAGTTATCCATGGGGCTATCATAGGAAAGAAAGGAAACAAGTCAGGAAGACCAAGGGTAGTCACATCCCACCTCTGACACATAAGTACCTGTGTGACCATGGCAAGTTACAACTTCTGTGGGATCCAGCAGCTTTCAGAGGCTAAAGGTTATAGACAAGCTGCCAAAGTGGAGAGAGTAGAAAGTTCCCTACACTAAAAAAATCTACCCTCCTGTCCCCGCTAATATAGAGAAAGCTATTTTCCCTTTTGTAAAACATTAACTGCAATGTCTCACTGCTATTTGGTGGGAGAGCCTTGGTTCTTGAAGGCTACATCACTGGAGTCACTGTGTTACTGGCTGGTCCTGCCATGCTGGAAAATACAGACCCGGTGACAGAGGCTGGCCACAGGGTGATGAGGTTCCTCCTCAACAACTCTTGAAGCCCATCTCCTAAATAAGAGAGGGAATATGATCTACACTGGTGGAGAGAAATCCCCAGGTTGATGAGACTTCAGATCCTTAATGTAGGGATTGGGAATCAGGAAAACCTGAGTTCAAATCTTGCTTTAGAAACTTACTACCTATGTCACTATAAGTGACTTGGCATTTATGGCATTCAATTTCCTCATCTGCAAAATGAGGAAGATAGATTCTATGACTTCTAAGGTCCCCTCCAGTCTGTCAATAAGCATTTATTAAGGTACCTACTATGTAAGTACTGGGGATACACTGAAAAGCAAGAGACTGTTCTCAAGGAACTCATGATCTGATAAGACAACCAACATGCAAATAACTAGGTATAAACAAGCTATAGACAAGATAAATTGGAGATAGTCAACAGAAGGAAGGCACTAACATTAAGAGTGACTGGGGAAGGTTTCTTGCAGAATGTGGCATTTTAGCTGAAACTAGAAGCCAGGAGGCAGAGAAGGAGAGAGAGCATGCCAAGCATGAGGGACAATTAGTGGAAATGCACAGTCTGAAGATACAGCATCTTCTCTCAGGAACAGAAAGGAGACCAGGGCCAGTGGATCACAGAGTATGGGTGGTGGAGGAGGAGTGAGGAGAGAAGGGAATGTAAAATGCAAGAAGACTGGAAAGGAGGAGGGAGCTAGGTTATGAAGAGCTTTAAAAGCCAAACAGAATTTTATATTTGATCTTGGAGGCAACAGGAAGCCAACAGAGTTCATTGAGTAGGGGACTTGCATCTGTACTTTAAGATAAATTTGATAGTTGAGTGGAAGACAGAATGGAATGGGGAGAGATCTGAGGAAGGGAGACCAACTAGCTAGCTACTGCAATAGTCATGAGGTGATGAGCACCTATACAAGGTGGTGGCAGTGTCAGAAGAGAGAAAGGGGTGTATATGAGAGATGCTGGAAAGGTAGAATTGACAGGACTTTGGACTTACTGGGAAAGGAAGGGAAGGAAACAAGCTTATTAAGCACTTACTGTCAGGCACTGTGCTAAGCACTTTTACAAATATTATCTCATTTCATCCTCACAACAATCCTAGGAAGTAGGTGATATTATTATTTCCATTTTATATAGAGGAAACTGAGATAGACAGAAGTGACTTTCCTAGGGTCACACAGCACTTAAATTTCTAAGGCAGGATTTTAATTCAGGTCTTCTGATTCCAGGGCCAGCATTCTATTCACTACTGCTTAACTGACTGGATATGGGGAGTTGAGAGTGAGGGTGACTTCGAGGATGGTGATACCCTTGACTGCAATAGGAAAATTAGGAAGGGGGGGAGTTTTGGGGAAGTAATGAGTTTGTTTGGATATATTGAATTCAACATGTCTTTGGGACATTCAGTTTAAGATGTCCAATAGGCAATTGGAGACTTGAGACGGGAGACTGAGAGAGGTTAGGGCTTGATAAGTAGATCTGGGAGCTCTAGCTCTTAATCTATAATCCTATGATTCTAAAAAGATTTAAGTACTGACGAAAAACAACAATAATGGCTCTTCAAAGCCTATATTTGGGTATCCCAGCAAAGCAAGGCTTTTAAACCCAGGAAATTGTTTCCAATGTCAAAACCAACCTACCTTCCTAACTCTGCCTAATGCCACTTCTTTTCACATATTTAAACACTTGGTCAGGTTGGATAGCTTACTTTCCTTTCTTCCCCCAACATGTCCTATAGCTTCCTATTTCTAGACTCCCTCCCCCACCATCTCTGCTGATTGTTTTTGATAATATTAGTAAACACAGCAATAGCACTTTAAGTTTTACAAAGCACTTTATAAAACCCAAGAGGTAGGCAGTACATGAGTTATTCTCTTCTTTTTACAGATGAGGAAACTGAGGTTCATAGTGGTGAAGTGGCCAGTAACTGTTAGGTCTCTTGACTCCAAACCAAGAGTTTTTTCTACCATGCAAGTCGCATCCTGACTTTCCTCCAAAGCCCAGCTACCTTCTCAATGTAGCCTTCCCTCATCTAGGCACAGACAATCCCAAACAGCAAAGAATCCAAAATTCAAGGTCTTTTGGATTGGGCGCTAGACTGTTAGAAACTGACAGGAGGAAGAAAATTGTGATGGGGGCAGGGGAAAGGCAGCCTTTCTCTGACTATTCATTACTCTGTGGCCACAATAAGTCCCTCTCCTTAGGACTTGCATTAAATGACATTAGAGAGAGGGTCTGGGTATATCTAAGGAACTAGGCAAAACTTTGTAGAACCTACCACCGGCACAGGTTAATTAACCAAGTGGATGGTCCACACACAGAAAATGAAGAAATGAGGGGAAATGAGCACATCACATTTTTGACAAACACTAAATAAAGGATCCCTCGCCCCAAACTCTTCATATCTTTCCCTTCCACATAGGTAATAAGTTCCCTATCAATTCAAGCCTATGAGCACAGTTTGGAAGACCATAGAGTCACATAGGATTTAGAGCTGGAAGGGAACTGAGAGATGATCTAGTCCATCCACTGTGTTTATAGAGGAAGAAACTCTGACCCAGATAGGTTAGGTGACTTGCCTAGGGTAACACAGCAAATAATTAGTCCAGCCGCTTTTTATAGAGGTGGACACTCTGATGCAGATAAGTTAGGTGACGTGTCTAGGGTAACAGTAAATAAGTGGCAGAGACAGGATTTAAACCCAATTATCATTTTGGAAATACTTTCTGCTTTATTCTAGGTTGAACTAGATATTCTCTGAGGTTCTAGGATTCTAGGGGCTTCCCGGAGTCCTCACACTCACCTGGCAATCTCAGCGATCTCTGCGGTCTGTACCATGAAGTTGTAGCGCTCGGGCTCGTCATCCTCATCATCCTCATCCGTGTCCCGCCCATTATAAGGTCTGGGCCGGCCCTGGCCGGTGGCCCGCAGGGTCTGAGTGGCTGTTGAGGCATGGGAGCGTTTGTGTTTGGGAGAACTGTGGGTGGAGCCGTACTCCTCCTCCGAGGTGGATGTGCAATCTGAACCCTGCTGCCTCCGCCGGGAGTCTTAGACAAATGAATTGGTTTCAGACACAAGGAGAACAAAAACAGAAAGGAATTCAGAGCCCAGGCAGCCAAGACCAAATCAAACTGGAATAAATCAAACAGGGCAAAACAAAGTAGGGGAGGGAGCCACTTAGAATCTCTCGGGGGCCTTAAAGAGAAGGAAAAGGTTTGGGTGTCATGAGCTTCCTGGACCAAGAAGACATAGCAATTAATGGGCTTAAGAGTCAGTAAACTTGGCTTCAGGATTCATCCAGCACATTGGCTTTGTGGTCTTAGGCAGTTTCGCCAAAAAAGAAATGAGGAGATTGAACTAGAGGAAATCAAAGGTCCTTTTCAATTAAAACATTCTATGATTTGCCCACACTAATTAGCTGAATTACTTAGAATGGAAGCAGAGCTGGTCAGTAGAGGACACATGTGAACTCTGCCTCATCAGCCCTTCTTCACAGGAACACCTGCAGTACCAAAGCTACTACTGGAGCTCCTCAGACATCCCCAAAGTCACCATCATCAGGACAGGGAGTTTCTTGTCTACATTGGGTCCCACATCTTCCCAGAGAAGTTCCATGGACACCCAAACCAGGCCCAGAAAATTAGAGATAGCCCAAAGTCACCCCATGTCATCCAGACAGGGAGAGAAAGTTGGCCCTCCTGGGAGAGATGAAAGAAAGTTAGGTTCCCCAAGGAGGGGCAAGTGACATTCTCCCCCATGCTTCATGCAGGCAAGTGTGGGCTGCCCTTGGTCCACCTGCTGGACTCTCCCAGGCCAACCCATCCAAGCGGCATCCTGGTCTACTAACTATCCAGTAGAGGGAACTAGCCCCATCTGGAACAAGGCAGGTATATTACTGCTGAAAGTCAACCAAGAAGAAGGTAGAGGAACCACGCCCAAACTACAGGGGCTCTGACTGTTGAAGAATTCTGTATTTTGTCTTGTTAGGTAAATCATTCCCTGTTCCTGAGCCCCGTGGGTCCCAAAGGACAAGGCTCAGATCTCCTATTCTCTATCCCGTCAATAAATTGTGGGTTCCCTAAGGACAGGGACCTGGTCTGCTCCTCCTGCCAATCAAAGGATTGGGCACATGGGGGATGAGTAAATAGATGCTAAGCTGAATTGTAAAATGAAAGAACTGCACTAGACAGTCACTAAGGTCCCATCACTTCTAAGATTCTGAGGTTCCATGAACTGCCTATTTCTTAAAGATTTTAATTCCAGCAGCAATGGCAGCAGCAGGAGGGGCTGTGCTCACCCAGAAGTCCAGGAGGGGGAAGGCACTGAGACGTCAAAGCTTCTATTTTCATTTGGTCTCTCCTTCTCCCAAGAAAGCCAGGCTATCTCACCTACTGCTCCCTCCTCCCCAAGGGGCTGCCCCTCATGCAACTCCTGGTGAACAGTTTCCTACCAGAACAGTAAATGGTCCCAGAAAGTAATGACAAGTCTGGCTCAGCCAATGTACAAGCTTCTGCACTTTGGCAGCCTCTCTCCCTGGCTAGACAGAGACTCCAGCCTGGGATCTGGTAAAACCACCTCACGCTATGGCCCACACCAAGTAAGGCCACCTTCTTCAGGGAGGTGCAGAGAAGGGAGAGAGGAAATCTCAAGCCAATTCAGCATGGACACACAACCAGAGAAGGTGGTTAGTAGAAGCTGACTGTTAGGAGGAAGGAGAGTCTGGTTAGCAAGGCACTGCTAACAGCTGGCAGGGAAGGGGAAAGGGAAAAGATAAAAAACAAAAATTCTTGCCTGGAGTCCCCAGGGTCTTGTAAACCAAAAACCAATTCATTTGGAATAAGATTGAAGTGCTAGCTCTTTTCTGGGGTTTAATGCATGACCTGGGAGTGAGCCCTAGCTGTCATGAAGAGCCAGGAACATGTTCTGGGCCAGTCTCGGATATCCCAGGGGTGGCCTCTACATGTCATTCATTGGCAGTGACCAACTTCATTAACAATTTGAAAAGAAAGGCAAGGGGCATATGCCTTTGAGGGCCCTAGCTTTTCCCTCTGGGTACAGAGATGAGTGAAGACAGCCCCATGGAATTTATAATACTTATCATCTTCAAAGGAGGATTGTAATATGGCAAACACATGGCTGAACACAAAAGAGGAAGGCATTGTTTTCACAGATAAGACAGCAGAAGGGATGCAAGAGAACAGACGCGTGACCGGGCCACTGGACCGCCTCTGATGCCCCTCCCCAGACCACCTCTAATACTGCTCCCTCTCCTCTGCTTCCTTCCCTGGAGCCCATACCCTCCTCTTATGCCCCTCCCCTCTCTTCATCTAAGAAGCCCCTCTGATCTTCAGGACACTCTCAGGGAAGAAATTACCTGTTGTCCCCCAATGAGTCATAAGACGAACTCAGCCCTGAGTCAAGGATTATAGGTGCCACAAGGAGACCAAGCAAACCAAGGTGAGGCTTGCACAGGTGAGAGATATTGCTTGTCACAGAGGAAACAGAATAAGGCAACTGTCTCCAGACAAGTACTGCACCTGGAATCTCCCTTCCAACCCCCAGAACACTCCAGCGTTTTGTGGATCCCACCATAAAAGCCACAGTTGGCTGCATACATATTGCTATCATTTTTGTATATCTACAGATGTAAAAAATACATGTAATCTATGTTTCTCCCACTTTGATCAGACAAAGAGCTTTGAGAGAGCCGGACCATGTCTTCCTCACACTAGAGCTCTCTAAGGGTATGGCCACATCTCACCCTCCTTCTCTCTTCCAGTGCTAAGCCCTAAGCACCCAGTAGGTAACAACATAATGACTGAGATTACCTCTAAAATAGGAGCCCTTAACCATTTTGTATCATAGGTCCCTCTAACAGCCTGGTAAAACCCATGAACACATTCTTAGGATAATGTTTTTCAATGAATAAAATAAAATAGGATTACAAAAGAAGCCAATTACACTTAAACACAGTTATCAAAATATTTAAAAATAAGTTCATGGACCCCAAGTTAAGAACTCCTGGATCTAGGGAACGACTTTAGGGCCCCAAAACACATCAAAACCCATCTTTTCTAATGTCTACCATCTTGATTTGGTGTCTGAGAAGTGGGACACTTTGACCTGATCAACCCGTGGCCCCACGAGAGGCAGAGACTTACTCGAAGAGGATGAATATCGGGCGCTGCCTGAGCGAGCCCTGTTGAAAGGCTGTTTTGCTGCAGCCACAGCCGCTGCTGTTTTCCTGGCTGCTGCTCGAGCTTCTGACATGGTCGACTTTCGACTTGAGTAGTAGGACTCAACACTCCTTCCAGAGAAGCCTGTCCGGGCTGGGGCTGACTCCAAATCACTGGGCACTGTAAATGAACCAGCCCTTTTCCGGGGCATGGCAAGAATGTCCAGGCGGGACAGCTTCTTGCCCTCTGTGGCCTGCTTGGTCGTGGCCTCAGGGTTAGATGTGGTGGCCCTTTCGTTCTCAGCCCCCTCATTGTCTGAGGTATCCCCAAGCCTTGCCCGCCTAAGCTTGGAGGCCCGAGTGGGCCGTGGGGTCGACAAGCTATTAGACCTTGTGAGAATCTGTTGCACCTTCTGCACGTTGGCAGAGACCCGGCCATGTTCTTCCTTAGTGGCCGAAGGAGAAGGAGGCGGTGCCGTGGGCTTCCTCCGGGATGTGGGTCTGACTGTTGCTGCTGGTTGATGTTCAGGTTCTGAAGCGACAGTATCTGGACCAGACATGTGGGTGTGACCAGAACCCCGCTCATCATCTGTAAAGTCCAGAGATCCACGGGTTCCATTGTTACGTTTAACCTGGAAGCGCCGAGTTCCTTCTGGAACTGGCCCTGGGCGACGCTGCTTCTCTGAAAGCCGTTCACGGGCGCTGGGCATGAGACCATGACTAGCATCCTGGATTGAAGGCGCAGATGATGGCCGCTCTTTCTGTGGGCCATTGCCCACCACCACCTTGCCTTTCTGGGTCTGGCTGGACCCATTCTTCCCACTGAGAAGGCTAACAGTGCTAGATGTGTCCACATCAGAGTCACCTGATAAAGAATCCTCTGGCTGCGTAGGGGTGTTCCTGGCATCCTCCCCAGGGGTCTTGGCAAGGATCTTGGCTTCCAAAGCTGCAAGAGCCGTCTCCGTCTCCTTCAAGATTAAGTGTGTATCCTGAGTGTGGTAGTCCATGCGGGTGGCCCGGGCAGCCTCTAAGTCCTTCAGGAGGGGATGGCTGGATATGTGGGGGAGCCTGTTGGGGGCAATGCCACTGCTTGCCCGCTCTTTGGTAAAGCTCTCTTGACGGACAAAGGATAGGGCCTCCTTTGCTACCCCTGCCGAACTATCTTGTTCTGGGGACTGGTTGGTCTGTAGGGAAATAGTCATCTTCCCTGTCATGCTGATATATGTACCATTCTCCTCCTTGGCTCTGGACCTCAGGGAAGGGGAACTGCTGACTGGCCGCAAGGGGGATGACTCCTGATCCACAGGTTCCTTGTTGGCTCGGGATGGCGGGGTACTCGGGGAGAGTTTGGAGGGGAAGCTGGGCTCTTTATTCTCATCTCCAATGTAGAAGGACATGGGGGCTGGCTCCCCTGCTATCTTGGGTTTAGAATGCTGAAGCTCTGCCACTGGTGAATGCTGCTGACCCCGAGGCCACTCTGGCCTCTGGACACCATCATTCTTTCTCTCCCCAGGCCCAAGTCCATCATCTGATTGGCTTCCATCACTGAGACTGTCTGGGTCCAGATCTTCTTGAATGAACAAGTGGTCCACCGTGTTTTCGTAGGACTCTGAGGCTGATTGCTTGGCTGCATTTCTCTTGGTGACTTCAGGGTAGGGTTCTGTCCCCATTAATCCAGTCAGCACAGGACTTTCTGCTTTGTCACTTGGGGGTAGTTGGGGGAGTAATCTCCGTGTTCTGGAAGGCAAAGTTGGCTCCAACTCCCCAACTTTGTGGTTGGTGACATCTGTGAAAGCAGAAGTGACAGATTCATTAAAAGAAAATTTGGCCCATTCACAGCCTGTCCCCCCCCCCCAACCAGGAGCACAGTTAGGTTATGACAATGTTGCAAAGTTTTATCATCCCCACCCCAAATCACCAACTTTCTCTCCCCCAAAGGGGTGTATGGAATCCAGGGTTCTCTATTACTCACCCAGCATATCCACAAGGTTGGACTAGGACTGTGGGATACCCAAGTACCCCAACTCACATTTGTTCCTGCTGAAAAAATGGCTTGAAGGAAATAGGATAGACAAGGGTCCCAGGAGAACCTTCTCCTATGTCTGAGGATCAAATCAATAGCCCCTCTAGGGAACTAAGCTCCTTTCCCAAATTAGGGACCCAATGAAGATCTTTCTGGTTCTCTACTGCCTATAAAATAAAGTCCAATTCCTCCTCCTGGCATTCAAGGATCTTCAAAATCCAGCCCTACCTTCAACTCTAAACTTTCCTTCTCTCCTCCCAAATATGTCCTTTTTTTCCTTCCCCCTCTATCCCAGGCAAGCTAGTCTCCTCACCAACCTCTCCTCTTGCCGTGCTATCATCTAAACATTATCTATCCTTCAAGCTCAAAACCTATCTCCTCCAGGAAGTCCTCTCTGACTATTCCAGCCTGCACCACCTCCCTGAGAAACCAACCCATATACTTTAGCCCAAGGTCACACATGGTCTTGTGTTGTTCTCTGTCTCACTTCTTATCTCCCCAGTCTGATTAAGAACCTCTAGGACAGAATATCAAGATCTCTCCCAGGCTTGGAGCTCTCTGACATCAGTGGCTGAATCTTCTCATCTTGTCTATGGACAGGTTAGGGGAATTTTAGAATAAGACTCCTTGCCTGTATGACAGGACCATTCTGTGCTCTGTTAAGTCTAATTGCTTTTACTTCCTTGCTTATAACAGATAGTTCTTTTTTTAAACCTCACCCATGTGTCAGAGGTCAGAGGGTGATGAAGGTGGCCTCTACACACCAAGGCCAGAAAAATCCAAAGAAACTGGAGGACATAGGCATGGGCTAATAGAAGTGGCAGAGAGATGGAGAGTCAACCCCTTTAGGGGACTGGCAAGAAAAGCAAGAGGATTTGTGATGGCAAAGAACTGGAAACTGAGGGAATGCCCATCAACTGGGGAACAGCTGAGCAAGTTGTGGTATATGAATGTAATGGAATACTATTGTGCTATAAGAAATGATGAGCAGTAGACTTCAGAAAAACCTGGAAAGACTTGTATAGACTGATGCTGAGTGAAGTGAGCAGAACCAGGAGAACATTATACTCAGTAACAGCCACGTTGTACGATGACTAATGTTGATAGACTGAGCCCTTCTCAGCAATGCAAGGATCTAAGACATCTCCAAAAGTCTCATGATGGAAAATGCTATCTACATCCAAAGAAAGAACTATGGAGTTTGAATGCAGATCAAAGCACACTATTTGCTATTTTTTTCTCTGTTTTGTTTCCCCTTTCTTGTGGTTCCTCCTATTACTTCCAATTCTTCCTTACAACATGACTAACGTGAAAATATGTCTAATAGGAATGTATATGTATAATCTATATCAGATTGCATGCCATCTTGGAGAGAGGGGGAGAAAAATTTAAAAGTCAAAAGCTTATGGAAGTGATTGTTGATAAATCAAAATAAATTAATAAAAAAAAATTTTTAAAAAAGAAAAGAAAAAGAAAAGCAAGAGGAAGTCTGAGGGTAAAAGGAAAGGAAATTCCAAGCAGGACTGAGCTCAGGTAAGACAATGAGAACCAGTTCCTTCCCCAGGCTGAAATTCCCACTACAGTCTGCTCATTGCCTCAATTAAAGGGATTACTGGATGCTGCCACTATCTGCTTTGGTATCTAGGACTTCATGGTCTAAGGTTGCATAAAAAACATGAAAATCATGCCATGTGCCACAGGGAAGCCAAACAGATGCCCTAATAATAGAATGAATCTTCTCTATTCCAACTTTACTTTGCATGGGGCTTGTGGATATGGAGGGATGAGGAGAATCTTGAGTTTTAGCAGTATTGCTGCTGAGGGCTATGAATCTGAGGAAAATGCAAAGGGTGGAGAAAGCAACTAAAAGCCATTTTGTAACCCTCCTCCCCATTAGAATGTAAGCTCCTTGAGGGTAGCACCTGATTTAACTTTATCTTTGGACCCTCAACATCTTACATTCAGTAAACATCTAGGCACTCAGTAAACGTGTGCTAAATTGAATTTGTTGAATCAATCAAGACTGGGGGAGGCAGTATCTGCATTGCTGTTCCCCAGATGGAAACTGTTAGAGTCTCCCTAAAAACCAGACCACCTAATCTGGGTATGATAACTCCTCTAGTCCTAGGCTCCACTTGGCTCTAGTACAGAGTCAAAGGGTTGAAGTAGCATGATGTTGGGGAAAAAGTTGAATTTAGAATGAGATGGTGTAGGTTCAAATCCATAAAGGTAACTTTCCAATTATGTGGCCGTGGCTAAGTCTCTTCACTCTCTCAGCCTCAGTTGTTCATCTGTAAAATGGCCATAATAATTCAATACTTACCTCACAAGGTTGTTGTGAGAAAAGGGCTTTACAAACCTTAAACCACTAGAGAAATATCAGTTATTATTGTCATCATCTGACTCTCCAGTCAAATAAGGACTTACCAGTCTCAGAGTCCAGGCAAGAGGGGGTTGACTCAGAGAGCAAAGTCCCTGGTCCCGGATCCAAATAGCTATCAGCCAGACTGGCCCAACGGGATACCCATTTCTGACTTGCTGGAGAGCCAGACACTGGCAGGACCTACAAAGAGAAATGCCCATTTGTGAGCCAAGGTGACCATTGGTGTGACTGCGGATGGAGACCCCTGAGGGGCCAGCTCATTGTATCCAATCATTTGGGCAAAGGGGCATTTGAAACCCATATACCCACCTGCCCCTAAACAATGATCTCCTGGCTTCCTGTGTTCCTGCCTGCCTCTAAAATCCCCACCTGGGATCAATTCCCACCTACCCCTTTCTCTGATGGACTTTGATCCTGACTCAGAAAGAACAATGGGTCTGGAGTCAGGGTACTTACTAGTTGTATGACTATGAGCAAGACCCTTTATCTCCATGAATCTCAGTTTGCTCATCTGTAAAATGGATTTCATAGTCACAGGATTTAGAGCTGGAAAGGAACTTTGTGCCTCTCAGCCCAACTTCCTCATTTTGTAGCTTATAAAATCATAAATACAAAGCAAGAAGGGACCTTACAGGCTATCTAATCAACCCCCTGATTTTACACATGCAGAGACTGAGGCTTGGAGATGGAGAAGGACTGACTCTGGGGTGCACAGGTAGTAAGTAGCAATGCTGGAAGGGACAGGGTTGTTGTGACGAAAGGGTTTTGTGAACCTTAAATGCTACAGAGTTGCCATTATCATAATTAATAACAACAGTATTACTGAAAAGCAGTATGGCATACTGGACAGAAAACTGACCTTGGAGCCAGGAAGACCTGGGTTCAAGCCCTGCCTATGTGACTTTGAGTGCCTGGGAAACTGGTCTACCATGGATGGAGAGGGAGGGGAAGAAAATATGTCTGGGAGAAGGGAAGGAATGTGTTGGAGAACTGGAGGTAGGGCTGAATCGTGGAGGACTTTGAAAGCCAAGCAGAAGAGTTTAGACTTGATTCTGTAGGTAACAAGAAAATGAAATACCTCAGGGCTATCAACAATTCTTTAAGACTCTGAGTGGCAGAGAAGGTGCCAATTTGCATTGGTAAAAGGAGTTTCCTCATCTGGGAAGTTCCTATTCCAATGAAACCAAAGGTTTAATCTCTATTGCTAATAGCATTAAAATTACTATCATTATTTCATTTCCTCCACTCAAGCCCCACTCCAATGACTCATTTTGTCTTGGAAGTGATCCTGGAGTCTTAGAATACTATGCCAATGGAGCACGAGTTCAGCAAGCCCAAACCTGAAATGCTTTGCCCTTTGACATCTAGCAGTACAGGACAAGTGATATGCTTGTTTTACAAGAATCAATCCAGTCTCTCTAAGCCCAGAGGCTCATCAATAATTTGGCCACCTGACAGATCAATTTTTTGACCCTTCATTCATTCATTTATTCATTCAAGGTTACCTACTGAGGAACAGAGGGGCTGAGATCTACATTGTCCAATTCTAGAAACATTTATTAAGCACTTACTGAGTGCAAACACTTAGGCAGCTGAATGGCTCAATGGATAGAGCAATGGGCTTGAAGTCAGGAAGACGTGAGTTCAAATCTGACCTCAGATACTTCCTAGCTGTGTGACCTTGGGCAATTCATTTAACCTCTGTTTGCCACTGGAGAAGGAAACAGTAAACCACTCCAATATCTTTGCCAAAAAAAAACCCTTGGACAGAGGCCCATGGAGTCATGAAGAGTCAGATACGACTGAAACAACTGAATAACAAGTACAAGGCATTGTACTGAGTATTAGGGACACAAAGAAAAAAGAAAAAAAATCATTCCTGTCTTCTATAAGCTCACCTTCAATGGGGCCATGGGGATGGGGGGAGAGAGGGAAAGGAGAGAGGGAGAGAGAGAGAGAGAGAGAGAGAGAGAGAGAGAGAGAGAGAAGCATATGTGAACCCAATCCTGTTCTCCTCCCTCTTTGGCCACTGTACCTGGGTCTCGCCTGGAGGAGACAGGCCTGAGGTCCTAGAAGCAAACTCTTGCAGCATGGCCAGCCGCTGAGCCACCCCTGCCTCTGCCACAGGGGGTGGGGAGGAGCCTGCTTCATCCTTCTCTCCACGGATAATTGGGCGGAAGGTAGCTGAGGTCATCTTGGAAAACTCAGGGGACTCAAACACCCCAAAAACCTGGAAAGGGGACAGGAAGAAACAGACTTGGTTTAAGAGGGATTCCCTGTTCATCTCACATCCCACCCTGGAGCAATTGCCAACAATGACAAGGACTATTACTCCTGTCTCATATACCCCAAAACCCTCTTCTAGTGACAAATCTACCCTCCCTCATTGGAGAAGGGACTCATCCAAGTTCACACAACTGGTAAGCAGTAGAGTCAGGACAAAAACAAGTCTTTTGAGGCCTCTTACTCCTAGTCCATGCTCTTTCCATCACAGCATGCCACTTCCCTTTCCGCCGGCCCCTACCTGGTCAATCATTTTCCGTGCCTCTTCAACTTCCTTGTCCTGTGTCTCTGTCTCAATGGTGTAGGTGCCAGCATCACTTAAACTATCATCCTCCTCCTGCTTCCGGGACTTGGTCAGCTGGGGGTCAGCAGACACTGGAGCTGGGGAGGATGGGGGGACTGGGGAAGCTGTCGAGATGACCACACGGGGAGCTAGGGGTGCGGGCAAGCCTGGTGGCTGTTTTTCTGGGCCCGGCCTCCCTGCTGTTGTAGTCTCCCGCAGGTACTCAGCAGCAAAATCCTGAGCCATCCGGGACCTGCGCCCCACACTGCCATAGAGTCGGTGTGTCGGGCGGGCAGCTGTTGAGACTGAACCTATCCGATCCTCCGTCTTCTCTCGCTTGAGTGAACTGGCCCTCTGGGGGCCTGAAGTGCTTCCAGATGCTCGGCCTAAGGCAGGACCTGGGACAGCAGCCATTCCCCCACAGACCCCAGTGGGCCCTGGCACTCTGCGCTTGTCTGCTTTGGGGTCAGCTGGCATGTGGGTGAAGGACTGGGAACGCTTTTTACGGGGTGTGTCCTCATCGAAGAATTCAATGACAAAGGCCTGCTGGTTGTGCAGCATTTCCTGGGGATCCCGTTTAATCTGCCGCTGCAGTCGGACTTGCTCCCCTGTGGGGGGCTCTGCCACTGGTACTGGGGAAGCCTTTTTTTCTGCCTTGAGAGAAGATGCTATTGCTGGATCTTCTGTGTCACTCTGTGTACCATCCTCATGCCGGTGGCCTAAGAATTAGAGAAGTAGACAGTGAGAACAACCCTGCTACCATAAAGCCTCACCCAATCAGAACCTGACTAATAGGATCAATCATTCAATCAATCAATCAGTTAGTCATTCATAACTTATTGATTGTGCAGATACTGTGCTAAGCAATGGATCATAAAATTTAGAGCTGGAAGAGAACTTAGATTTGACGTCTTCACTTTACAGAAGGAAAAACTGAGGACCTGGAATATTGACTAATGCCACACAGGTTTTAAGTAGCTGAGCTGGGATTTAATCCCAAATCCTGGGATCTGACTTCAAACCCAAAGCAATTCTATACTGCATTTCCTCCCACAGCTTCTGGGAGGTATTTCTACTGGCATTTCTTCTGTCCCAAGCCCAGGAGTGTATCAAAACCCTTAGAGTTTGTCCTCATCTACCCTCCTACCTAAAATATCCCGCATGGATTATTCCAGTTGATCTGGGGACAAATTTATATCATTACTTAGATATTTGTTATTATGTTTCTTTAGTTTTTCTTGCCTACCTCTCCTACCTAAAACTCTCCAAGGGTCTGGTTTCCACCTAACCTGTGAGCTCCAGGAAGAAGTACCCGACACACTCCTTATTTCTCCTTTTTGTCTTCTCTAGTGCAGAAGTTTTGCCCCTAGTGGAGTATATCTGCACTTGGGGGAACAGTAATAACTGGTAAAACTGAAACCAAAGGTACTCACTCAAGGACTGGACAAGCATAATGGAATGGAATCTTAGATCTAGGACATCTGTGGGATTATATTTGTTGTTTCCTGTATGGCACTGTCCCAGCCTTCCAGGACTTTTACCATAGACTCCTTACAATCCTTCCCACTTCCACTCTACTCACTTTCCCCATGGCCCTCCATACCCATTCTATCCTTCATACTGTTACCTTACTAATCTTCCTAATTAAGGATATATCATGGTGCAAGAGAAAATACTGACTCTAAAATCAGAGGGACTGGGTTAAATCAAGACTCTGAAACATGTTATCTGTAACATGGGCAAGTCACCTGACTTCTCTAAGCCTTGGTTTTTTTTTTTTAGTTTATAAAATTAGAGAGTTGGCTTAGATGGCTACCGGGGTCCCTTCCAATTCTAGGTCTATAATTGTATGGTCCCTACTCCTCTGCACAGAAATCTTTAATAGTAATTAAAGTAAAATCAAATTCTTACATCTGGCATTTAAGACCCTCCGCAATCTGGTGCCTCTCTGCCTTTCCAGCCTTATTTCCTACCATTCCCTCCCATGTATTCTGTACCATAGCCACACCAGGTATCTCATTGTCCCCAAGTACCCTCTTGCGCTTTCCCCGAGTCTGTTGTCTTTATTCATGTTGTTCTCAATGCTTCAAATGTCCTTTCTCCTCCTCTTCACCATTTGAATTCTTATGTACCTTTTTAAAGCCCAAAACATATGCCACCTCCTCCAGTAAGTCTTTGCCAATACCACTCTGGCTGCCCACTACCACCCTAAACCTCATCATGTTTTGTATTTTAATTATCTATCTTGTTTCTCATTCTCCTACTAGACCATGAGTTCCAAGCAAGAAAACCTGCATTTTATCTAAATGTTTTTGTTTTCCCCATCACCTAGCACAGGCCTGTTCACGTGGTAGGTACTTAAGAAATGTTTGTTGAACTTGAATTTTTTTTCTGGAATACAGCCCTCAGCATTCCAATGAGAGTAGAAAAGAGAAACGAGGAGTTCACACATACTCAGGCACTCATACACAGTCATACACACATATCACTACAGAGTCTCACGACATATCCTATCTCAGAAGAATGCTGGTGATTAGATGACTATATATTGCTACAGGCAATACTGGAAAACAATATTTTAGACCTGTCCAACAACTGAATGGGGTGACTTGGCAGGTAGTGACTTTCCTGTCACTGAATGTTTTTAAGTACAGGCTGAATAACTACTTGTCAGGGTTGTCAGAGAGAGGATTCTGCATAGGAATGGGTTAGACTAGAGATTTCTGGGGTCCCTTCAAGCTCTGACTTTCTGTGACTCAATCAGTCTGGACAGAACCTTATTAATGTAGTGGGTTGATAGTGTCAAGGATGAAATGACTGTGATGTGGGTGGAAAGGTCAAAAGAGCACCAGCTTTGAATGAGAAGAGAAAGCAGAAGTTGGTGGCACTGTGAAGGACCCTCTCTCAAGGGGTCATGGGACAACCAGGCCCATCTCTAGCTAAATGGGAAGGAAGGCTATTGAATGGAAGCACAATCTTACTGGTCAAAGATTGGATCATGAATCTTAGGATACTTGGGACAAGATTCCTATGTTCCCTGTCTTGACAATTTCATGCTCTTTAAGTTTATATTTTATCTTTCCTTCAAATTCCAGAAAAATCCTTTTGAGAAAAACTTTGCTGAATCTATTACGATGAAAACAGGGATAAATATAAAGTTCTACACCCAGGCTCAAAAAACCATCTGTACAAGAATAAGATGGAAAAAAATAAATTAAGAAGATGAAAAATAAATTTAAAGAAATCTTGAAGAATAGGATGGGGGAAGTGGCAAGATGAAAGTTCATATGGTAAAGATCTAGAGATTTTAATGAATTGCAGCTCAACATCAGTCAGAAGTATGATGCCACCAAAATGCCACCTCTTCCTCCAGGAAATCTTTGTCAATACCACCTTGGCTGCTCACCACCACTCCAAAAAGTCTATGGATGCCACTTGCTAGCTGTGTGACCCTGGGCAAGTCACTTAACCCCAAATGTCTAAAAAAAAAAGTCTATGGAATCTTAGGTTGCATACAGAGAAGAAAAGCAGCATCCCCTGCCTAGTCAGAATGCATATGGAGTAATGCATTCAGTTCAGAAGGTCACTTTTCAGGAAGGATATTGATAAGCTCAATGGTGTCCAGAGAAAGGTGACTAGGTTGGTAAAGACATTTGCTTAGGATCAAGAAGTCGTGGAGAGGACATTACAGTGGCCTTCAAATCCCTGAAAGGCTGTTATGAGACAAAGATGGGATAAGATTGGTTCTGCTTGGTCTGAGGAGACAGGACCAGAAGCACTGAAGAGGAGTTGCAGAGATGATTTCAGCTCTACCTGAGGGAAATATCCTACCCATTAGAGCTGGTCAAAAGTATACTGTCTTACCACAAGGAATAGTGAGCTTCCCATTACTGGAGGGCCTAGGGCTGGCTGACCTCTTCTCTGGACTTTTGTGAAGGGTATTTCTGCTCAAGTGTGGCTTGGAAGATGCCCTCTGAGATTCCTTCCAACTCTGAGATTCTGTGATAAGATAGAGGGGGCAGAGGATGACCCTAACAGCTCTGGGGCCCAGCCATGAAGAGTACAGCATAAGGGAAAGGGAAAGGCTAAAAGGGTCAGTGACACTCCTACCCTGGTGTCCTATTTCCTCAGTCACATGCAAACAGAGAATCAGTCTCACACAGAGTCTTACATAAAGACACAAATCTTCCCTTTCCCTTCCCCACTCAAAGTCACACTTTCATGTTTTTAAGTCCTACTCACCCTTCAGTGTCCTTACATGGATGGGCAGGTCACTCTTGGTGCTGTAGCCATCCTCCCCGGGTCCTGGCCTTCGTATCAGGCTAGGATCATTCTGTACCAACCAATGCGCTACCTTGCTCTGAGCAGACACCATATCAGTAGGGGCCGAATCCTTCACAAGAGGCCGCCGAGGTCTCAGGGAGAATTTGGTGACATGATCCTTGATCTTCACTTTGCCAGGGCTACAGTCATCAAATTCAATGGTGAAAGAGGCATGGCTTTGCACCACTGGGGGCACCCCACCCGGCTCCACGTCCTTTGTGGGGACTTCGTGAACCTGTTCTTCCACGGACTTGGAAACAGGTTGAAACTCTTTCGTGGGGATCTCAAAATAGCTTGGCTCCCTCCGGAAGGTGAATGCTGATGGTTCCTGACCATCCCGGTAGCTTGGAATGTTCCCATTGACCTCTTCATGCTGGGGAATCTCCTTGGTCCTCTCTAGGGGAAAAAGAAAGGGAACTGTTCACCAAGCTTCTGTAATAATAACATTAATAATAAGGATAACAGCATTAAGATTCACAACAACTTTGTGAGGTAGGAACCTACTTCCATATTTCAAGGACCTGATCTTTACTCAATGCGGGTTAGAATCTACCTTGAGGCCCCAATGAGGAATTATGTGTAAAGTGCTTTAGAAATTGTAAGGTCTAAGACATCAGAGAAAAGCTAGGAAGTTGCCTGAGCTCTCCCCAGTTTCTCTCAGAAACAATGTTAAATCAAGCTTCTAAATGGATTCTGGAGTGACAGAACCTACAAAAAGATGGAATGAAACAAATTTCCAACTTCAGATAACTTAGAAGGACTTCAGGAAAGATCTGTCTCACTTGGGTAAAATGAGAGCGCAGCCCAGTACAGGCAGTGTCTGGGCAAGGAAACGGGAAGTTCTTACCCACAGCACAAATTAGCAGCTAAGGCCCCTCAGTCCTGGCTCAGCAGGCTAGAGGCACAGCAGGCCAGCTGTGAGGCCTCCAGCCACAGCACAGAAGGCAAACTGCCAGCCCAGGAACCCCTCTCACAACAGGCTTGAGTAGGCCAAGCCATACTAGTGCAGTGTCATAAAAAGCCAGTGACCAAGCCCCAGAGCCCCAGCGTAAGAAGCATGGGACAGTGCCCTCTGTACCCCAGGAACAGAGCTCAACTTTAAAATTCATGAAAGAGATTTAAAATGAGCAAAAAGTAGAAAAGAGTCCTAACCACTGAAAGCTACTATGGCAACAGGGAAGATCAAAAATTCAGAAGAGGACAACAATGTCAAAATGCCTACGTGCAAAGCTTTAAAGGAGAATATGAATTAGTCTCCAGTGCAAAAAGCCTTCTTCTTCTTCTTCTTCTTCTCCTTTTTTTTTTTTAGTGAGGCAATTGGGGTTAAGTGACTTGCCCAAGGTCACAGAGCTAGTAAGTGTCAAGTGTTTGGTTTGAGGCTGGATTTGAACTGAGGTCCTCCTGATGTCAGGGCCGGTGCTCTATCCACTGCGCCACCTAGCTGCCCCTTTCAAAAAGCCTTCTTGGAAGACCTCAAAAAGGATTTTAAAAAATCAAATAAGAGAGATAGAAGAAAAATTGGGGAACGATATGAGAGTTATGCAAGAGAAAGTCAACAGCTTGGAAAAGGAAGGACAAAAATTGACTGAAGAAAACAATTCCTTAAAAAATACAATTGGGCAAATGGGGAAAAATCCACTGAAGAAAACAACTCCTTAAAAAGTAGAACTGGCCAAATGGAAAAGGAAGAACAAAAGCTAACTGAAGAAAATAATTCCTTAAAAATCAGAATTGGGCAAGTCACTCAACCCCAACTGCCCAAAATTTAAAAAAAAATCAGTCAAATAAAATCAAAAGAATTACTAAATAGAAGAAAATGTAACATACCTCATTGGAAAAACAACTGGTCTGTAAAATAGATCCAGGAGAGATAATTTAAAAATTATTAGACTACCTGAAGGTCATGATCAAAGAAAAAAAAAAGAGCCTAGACAGCATCTTTCAAGAAATTATCAAGGATAACTGCCTTGATATCCTAGAACCAGAGGGTAAAATAGTCATTGAAAGAATCCACTAACCATCTCCTGAAAAAGATCCCAAAATGAAAACTCCAAGGAATATTTTAGCCAAATTCTAGAATTATCAGGTCAAAAATAAAATATTGCAAGCAGCCAGAAAGAAACAATTCAGATATCGAGGAGCCACAGTCAAGATTACACAGGTCTTAGCAGCTTCTACATTAAAGGATTAGAGGCCTTGGAATATGATATTCCAAAAGGCAAAGGAGCTTAGATTACAACCAAGAATCAACTACCCACCAAAACTAAGCATAATCTTTCAGGGGAAAAGATGGACATTCAGTGAAATAGGGGACTTCTAAACTTTCCTGATGAAAAGACCAGAGCTGAACAGAAAATTCAATCTTCAAATACAAGACTCAAGAGAAGCATAAAAAGGCAAACCGGAAAGAAAAAAACAAACATGTTATTCAATAAGGTTAAACTGCTTATATTCCTACACGGGAAGATGATACTTATAACACTTGAGGACAGTATCTCTATTAGGGCAGTTAAAAGGAGTATACATAGACAGAGAATATAGGTATAAGTTGACTTTGATGTGATGATATAAAAAAAATTAAGGGGTGGAAAAAAAGGATTATACTAGGAGAAGAAGAAAGCGGGAGGCAGAATAGGGTAAATTACATCACATGAAGAGGTGCAAAAGACCTATTACAGTAGAGGGAAAGAAGGGAGGGGGTGAGCCTTGTTTGAACTTGATTCTTACCGGAATTGGCTCAAAGAGGGAATAATATACACACTCAGTAGGGTATAGAAATTTATCTTACCTTGTAGGGAAGTAGGAGGAGATGGGGGAAAGAAAAGAGAGGAGAGGAAAGGGCTGATAGAAGGTAGGGCAGATTGAGGGAGAAAGTAGTCAGAAGCAAAACACTGGCGAGGAGGGACAAGGCAAAAGGAGAGATAAAAGTAAAAATAGGATGGAGGGAAATACACAGTAATCATAACTATGAATGTGAATGGGATGAACTCTCCCATAAAATGGAAGCATATAACAGAGTGGACTAAAAAACAGAATACTTTACTATGTTGTTTACAAGAAACACATTTGAAGCAGAGAGATATATACAGAGTAAAGGTAAAAGGCTGGAGCAGAATCTATTATACCTCAGCTGAAGTAAAAAAACCAAGGGTAGCAATCCTGATCTCAGCAAAGCAAAAGCAAAAATTGATTTAATTATAAGAGATAAAGAAGTAAACTATATTTTGATAAAAGGTACCATAAGCAATGAATAGCTATACTAAATATATATACATATATATACATACGTACGTATGTATGTATGTACATGCACCAAGTGGTTTAACATCCAAATTCTTAGAACAGAAATTAAATGAATTATAGGAAGAAATGGACAGCAAAACTACCTCTCCCTCTCAGAACCAGATAAATCTAACTACAAAATAAATAAGAAAAGTTAAGGAGGTGAATAGAATTTTAGAAAAGTTAGATATGACAGACCTCTGGAGAAAACTGAATGGGGATAGAAAGGAATATACCTTTTTGTCAGTGGTACATGGCACCTACACGAAAAACCTCACAATCAAATGCAGAAAGGCAGAAATATTAAATGTACCCTTTTCATATCATTATGTATAATATGTATATTATCAATATGTATAATAAAGGACCATGGAAAAATAGATTAAAAATTAATTGGAAATTAAATAATCTAATCCTAAAGAATGAGTGGGTCAAACAACAAATAATAGAAATAATAATTTCATCAAAGAGAACAACAATAATGAGATAACATATCAAAATTTATGGGATGCAGCCAAAGAAGTTCTTAAGGGAAATTTTATATTTCTAAATGCTTACATGAATAAAATAAAGCACAGACCAATGAAATGGGCATGTAATTTAAAAAGCTACAAAAAGAACAAATTAAAAATCCTCAATTAAAAACTAAATTAGAAATTCTGAAAATCAAAGGAGAGGTTAATAAAATTGAAAGTAATTAAACTATTGAACTAATAAATAAAACTAAGAACTGGTTTTATGAAAAAAAACCCAATAAAGTAGATAAACTTCTGGTTAATTTGATTTAAAAAAAGAAAAAGAAAACCAAATTACCAGTATCAAAAATGAAAAGGGTAAATTCACCACCAAATGAAAAGGAAATTAAAGCAATAATTAGGAGCTATTTTGCCCAACTGCATGCCAATATATCTGACAATCTAAGTGAAATGGATGAATATTTACAAAAACATAAATTGCCCAGATTAACAGAAGAGGAAATAAAATACTTAACCCCATTTTAGAAAAAGAAATTGAACAAGCCATCAATGAACTCTCTAAGAGAAACAATCTCCAGGGCAAGATGGATTTACAAGTGAATTCTACCAAATTGTTAAAGAACAATTAATTCCAATACTATATAAGCTATTTGGAAAAATAGGCGAAGAAGGAATCCTACCAAATTCCTTTTATGACACAATTATAGTGCTGCTACCTAAACCAGGAAAAGCCAAAACAGAGAAAGAAAATTATAGACCAATTTCCCTAATGAATACTGATGCAAAAATTTTAAATAAAATATTAGCAAAGAGATTATAACAATTTATCATGAGGATATTAATGTGAGCTGAGATATGTGGCCCAGTTTCAAGAATTTGAAATTATCTACAATTTTTATGTCACCAATCTTATCTAGCAGAATGGCTCTAAGACATCCCACTGCATCAACTTCAAACACCTCTTCTTGGCATCCAAGGACATCCACAACCTAGCTTTCAGTCCCCTACTCTCCAACTTCAACTCCCTCTCATTTTCATCATGGGGCCTTTGCTACAGTCAGATGGGTCTCTTCATATGGCAGCCATGATGTGTGACCAATCTGGCCATGTTATTAGTGGATAACTCTCTGACTTAGATTGGAGTCTGTACTCTCTCCCATTGACTAGCTGTGTGACCCTGGACAAATCATTTCACCTCTGTCTGCCTCAGTTTCCTCAACTTTAAAATTGGGATTATAAAAACACTTACCTTCTAGGGTTGTTGTGAGGATCAAATGAGACAATATTTGTAAAGTGCTTAGTATAGTGTCTGGTACATAATAGGTGCTTAATAAATGCTTGGTCCCTCTCTCCCTCACTCTCTCACTGATTTTCCTTGTTACTGAGCTCCTACAAGCAAAATGTGCTAGGTTTAACTCAGGTCAGCACTGGATGACACATTCTGTTATTAAGGGAACTGTTCCATATGGGTCAGTGTGGTTCCTCTCCACTCCAGATTATTAATGGGTACAGGGCCTGCGGTTGTTCCTCTGTTGCTTCTTTATTTGAAACATTTGGTGTCTATAACCCTTATTTTGCTTTTTCAGGCACTTTTTGGGACCAAACCTGGGATTTCACTGGGGCTGTCATAAGACACAATACTCCCAGGGCAGGGCTGAGGTTTCTCCTCTTTTGTGTCTCTCAGGCCATGACCTTGTTGAGGATAGTAAACTTGTTTCTTCTTCTCACTACCCCAGACTTTTGAGATTCCTAAGGTCAGAGGTCCTGTCTCCCTATACAACCAGAGTCAACCATAGAGCCAAGAGGCATTGATGTCCTAGTGCCAGTTCTATGGACTTGGTCTAGGGTTGGCCTCAGACTGGGGACATGAAGCCAGTCCTGGACACTGGTTCCTTGACTGGACCCTTACCTGGATAATGGTCCTCTTGGTGGTCATCTGGTCTGTCCAACTTGTTGTTGCCATCATCCTCCCCCCACCACGAAGGTTGCCCATATAGTGGTGTGCGGTAGGTCAATGGCTCTGGAAAGAGAAAAGAAGAAATTTCTGTCACTTCAATAGCTCAGTTCCAAAAGCAAGGCCAGCAGCCTCCCTCATATGGAGGGTGACATTTCCTAAGAAGTCCATTCCATGGGATCCTAGATATAGATCCAAAAGGGACTTTAGAAGTCATTTAGTTCAAACCACTCATTTTACAATTAAAGAAACTGGAACCCCAGAGAGGGGACGAGACTTTCCCAAGCTTATATAGGGAGTAACAGAGCCAGGAAGTGAACCCCAACTCTCTGACTTCAAATTCCTGTGTCTTCCCCTTACACAATATAGTTGCTTGAGCCCTAAAACCCATAGGCGTATACCTGGGGCTCTGCAAACTCTTCAAGGACCTTCCCAGTCCAAGGACAGTGATATTACCAATAGCAAGGTCTTAGCATTGATACCAACTAAAAATAAGACTATTAAAAGAGAGAGCACTTGAAAGTTTACAAAGTACTTTGATCATAACAAACCTATGGGTTAAGAAGTACATGTATTATTTTCCCCGTTTTATAGAGGCTCCAAGAGGTTAAAAGATTTCCCCAGGGACACACATCTAGTAAAGAGTCAAAGTCAGGATCTAAACTCAGGTCTTTCTTGACTGCAAGTCCAAAGCTCTCTTTCCATGAGACCATAGTGCATTATATTTCATTATATTCTCATTCTGCAAACATTCATCAACCCCAGGGGACAGATAATATTCTTTTAACCAGAATACCAAAATTATCCAGAGCACTCTCATTCCCCAAAACCTGCTAGATAAATGAGATTCTCATCTCTTCCAGTCCTCCTGACTGCTATAGATCAACTTAGGACCATACATCTAAATCTAAAAGCTGCAAGAGACCTTTAAAGTCATCTACCCCAAACCCCTCATTTTAGAGATGAAAAAACTGTGTAATCTTGCCCAAGATTACACAGAGAGTAATCCGTCTTTCATCATCCCAATATTACACCTCTCCAGATGCAACCCTTATCTAAAGGTAGCACAGTGCCTAACACATAAATGTTTCCTTCCTTCTACAACCCTTATTTTACTTCTTCATGCACTTTTTTTGGTTGTCTGAACCTGCTAGTTCATTGATATAGACAATCCCAGTGAGGATACTTTCTGTATTAAAGCAGATCAGCAACTACTCTCTGAGTCGTCTGGTCCAGAGTTGTCTGGGGCATTGAGACTTTAAGTGACTTTCCCAAGGTTCCATGACCTGTGTCAGAGGATGGACCTGACCTCAGGTCTGCCTGATTCCAAAGCTGGCTCTCTTTCCTCTCATCTTGTGAACAACAATAGCTTGCTTACACATAGATTTCAGGCGGAGACAAATGCTAAGAGGAGGAATGAGTGACTGGCCCCAACATGGTTACAAAGCACTGAAAACCCACCTCACACTCAGATTTTCTGATGCAGTGGTCTCCCACTGCACTAATCTGCCACTAAATCCACCTAGTGCATGTGCTCTTTAAATATCTGATAATGAAAAAATTGATGGATGCTGCAAGACACTAGTGGAAATCAATGATCAGAGAGCATCCTACAAAGGAAAGTAAAAACATTTTAATGGCTAAAGGAAGGGAAAAGGAAGGAAAGAAGACAGGGAAGGGAGAAAGGGAAGAAGAGAGGAAAGAAATAAGGAAAGGAGGAAAGGAAGACGAAAAGAATAAAGAAAGGAAGAGAAGAAGAAAGGAAAGAGGGGAAAGAGGAAAGAAAGAAGGAATAAGGAAAGGAAGAAGAAGGAAAGGAAGAAGAAAGAGAAAAAGACAGAAGAAGGAAAGGAAGAAAGAAGAAAAGGTAGAAAGAGAAGAGAGAGAGGAGAGAGAGAGAGAGAGAGAGAGAGAGAGTGTGTGTGTGTGTGTGTGTCATTGTGGCATTGAAAAAAAAAATTCCTGGCCAAAAGGAATCACAAATAAGCAGGACAGCTTTGAAAGCTACAAGTTTATATGTTATATATTTTAAAACAAAAGCAAGCTATAAATAACAGAGATTAGAAGTTTCATGTACACTCCTCTTTCTCTGTACTACCATGTATAAAGAAATTCCCATTTTATTTTATATTTGCTAAATTCTGAATAAATATGTGTATTTTAATTTCAATAAAAAGATGTATCTGGTAACATCAGTTGAAACTCATTCAACTATTTTCTACAGACTGATTTTATCACTCCAGATGATCTCTATCTCACAACAATGTTTATTTAAAATAAAAAATTAAAATGGTGATAAATAAACAAAATAAATGAATGAGCTACCATCCAGATGTGCTTAGCCACGAGATGAGCTTACATCCTCCACTAGAGGGCACTGTGAACCCATATCTTGAGGTAACTAATATCCTGCCTTTCAACATCTGCCTCAAAACTCACTCAGGGGCCAGGAAGCACTTATAGGTTTCATAGGATTTAACATCTAGAATGGGACGTTATAGAGGATCTAGCTGAACCCACTCATTTAACAGATGAGGAAACAGAGATCCAAAAAGTGATTTACTCAATTTACTCAAGTCACATAAGTAATTAGTGGCAGAGCTGGGATTTGAGTAGATTCCTAATCTTATCTTCTTTCTACTCTACCATGACATCCTCCCTTATCCATCACCACCTGACAGATCCCTCCCAAAATCTCCTGCACCAACAATGAAATATTAGTTTATATGCTGTTCATGAACATATGCAGATACACAGCCTCGAGTGCAATAATAAGAGAACTGGACTTGGAGGCATAAGCCATGAATTCTAGTCTATTGACTTTGGCCAAGTTACTTCACCTGCCTCAGTTTTCCTTATCTTTAAAATGGGGACAATATGAATTGCACTGACTCACAAGGTTATTGTGAAAAAAAGTTTGTAAGGCTTAAACATTACACAAATGGGAGCTATTATTAATTGTGGCAGCTTTGTGGTATAGTGGATAGAGCACTAGATGTGGATTCAGTAAGAACTGCATTCAATGAATGACTCAGAAATTTACTAGCTGTGTGATGCTGGGCAAGTCATTTAACTTCTGTCTGCCTTTGTTTCCTTATCTGTAAAATGGGAATAATAATGGCATCTACCTCCCAGGGTTGTTGTCAGAATCAAATGATGCAATTTTTGTAAAATCCTTTGCAAACCTGAAAGAACTATATAAATGCTAGCTAGTGATTGTTAATATATCATAATCTCTAGGCTGAGGGAAGACACACCTTGCCACAAGAAAGTTGGGCTATGGCTAGACTTTATCTAAGTATTCTAGTTCTATAAAGGGTCTTTTTATATTTTTCTTTTTGATTACAATTCAACATACACTTATTGAGCATCAGCTGTGTACAAAGCACTGTACTACTATCATTGTCAATGTTTAATCAAGACAGCAGCTCATAAATAGAGACTACTCATGTCACACATTCTTATTCATAGTCATAGAGACAGCTATGGCCTAGTGAAGAAGAGCCAGCCCTGAAATCCGGAAAACCTGGGGTTCAAATCCTCTGTCTGACACACATTGGCTATGGGACCAAGGCAAACCATTTAACCTCAGAGTGCCCCACACAGCTGTCTAGGACTAAGCTACAGAACCCTAGGCAATCCGTACACCAGTGAAATCATGGGTTTGGACAGAAAGAAAAGAAAAGGCCACAGAACATCAGTGGCAGGAGGAGCCATCCGAGAATCTGTCCAAGTCCAACCCATTCTGGGCCACTGAGGCCCAGAGACAACAAGAGACTAACCAGATCAAGGTTCAATCAACATTTGTTGAGCACCTATGATATTGGAAAGGATTCTATAATTTTTTTATTTTTAATTAATTTATTTTGATTTATCAACACTCACTTCCATAAGCTTCTGAGTTTTAAATTTTTCTCCCCCTCCCTCCCTACCACCCTCCCCAAGATGGTGCACAATCTGATATAAGCTATACATATACATTCCTATTCAACATATTTTCACGTTAGTGATGTTGTAAGTAAGAATTAGAACCAATAGGAGGAACCACCGGAAAGAGGAAACAAAACACAACAGAAGAAAAATAATAGCAAATAGCATGCTTTGATCTGCATTCAAACTCCATAGTTCTTTCTTCTTTGTGGATAACATTTTCCATCATGCGGCCTTTGGAGATGTCTTAGATCCCTGTATTGCTGGGAAGGGTTAAGTTTATCAATATTAGTCATTGCACAGGATGGCTGTTATTGTGTACAACATTCTCCTGGTTCTGCTCACTTCACTCAGCATCAGACCATACAAGTCTTTCCAGGTTTTTAGGATTCTATAATTGGCATGGATACCAACCCTCTTTCATAGACAGGCAATGGTTCTTGGTAATGTTTGTCTCTCTCTCCAGCTAGGAACATTTCTTTTTCTCTTCATTAATTTATTTTGATTTATCAACAATCACTTCCATAAGCTTTTGAGTTTTAAATTTTTGTCCCCCTCCCTTCCCACCTCCCTCCCCAAGATGGCGTGCAATCTGATATAAGCTGTACATATTCATTAGGAACATTTTCTCACAGTGAAGAGGGACTTCAGTATCTCCCTCTCTAAACACTAATTCCTTAGAAAAGAATCCTACATCAATTTATCCACAGTGAGCAAAAAGGCTTTTTCTCAGACCTCTCCCTCTCCCTCTCCCTCCCCCTCCCCCTAGGTTGGGCTCTGTCCACAGGGTCAGAGAAGCTTGAGGAAGTCGGAGAAGACCGGCCCAGAAGTGGAGGCAGGGGCACCACAAACATAGCTTGTCCCCTTCACCACCCTCCCCAGGCCTCCTCAGATGACCAGGCTTCAATAATCACAGGCTGCAGCAAATGAGCCTGGGCCAAGGCTAAGCTCAGTTTCACCTCAAACCCAAAGAATTTCTGAGAAAAACTAGAAAAGGGAAAGGCTACTACAGGGAAAAGCTTGGACTATGAGAAGGCCCAACCCTCAGGATGCTGGGTAGGGCCTTAGAAGTAGAAAGCTTTCTGCCACATACAGAAAGAGATACCGAAGAGAACAAATACTGCATCTGCAATTGGAAGGCTTGGGTTCAAATCTTGAGTTTGCTACTTACTAGCTGCATTCAGTTTCCCCATCTATAAAATAAGGGAAATCCATATGCACAAAAATATCTATAGCAGCTTTTTGTGGTAACAAAGAACTGGAGACCAAGGGAATGACCATCAATTGAAGAATGGCTGAATAAATTTTGATACATAAATGTAGTAGAATACTATTGTGCCATACTGATGAAATGATGAAGGGAAGAAACCTTCCCAGAGACACCTGGGAAGACTTGTATGAACGGATGCAGAGTGAAGTGAGCAGAACCAGAATGACACAACAACACTAAAGACAAACAACTCTGAAAAATTTAAGAACTCTGATCAACACAGTGACCAATCACAATGCCAGAGGACCAACAATGAAGCCACCCATCTCCTGACAGATAGGTGATGGAGTCAAAATGAAGAATAAAACAGACATTTTCATACATGACCAATTTGGAAAAGTTTTTATCTTGTTTATGCATATTTGTTACAAGGGTTTTCTTTTTCTTTCCTAGTGTAGGTGGGTGGGAGAATGGGAGGAAAAAAATAAGTGCTTGTTAATTGAAAAAAATTTGGGGAAAATATACAAAGTATATAAATGTTGAAAAATGTAAAATAAAGGAAGGGTGAAATAGATTCTCTCTAAGATCTAATTTAGACCCATCTTAGGGACAGCCAGGTGATGCAATGGATAGAGTGTTTGGCTTGGAATCAGGAAGACTCATCTTCCTAAGTTCAAATCTGGCCTCAGACATTTACCAGCTGTATGATCTTGGGCAAGTCACTAAACCCTGTTTCCCTCGGTCTCCTCATCTATAAAATGAGCTAGAAAAGGAAATGGCAAACCAGTCCAACATCTTTGCCAAGAAAACCCCAAAGGGGTCATGAAGAGCTGGACATGACTGAAACAACTAAACAAGAAAAGCCCCAACTCTTATGATTCTTAGTTCTCCACTATAGAGATAAGAACTATTAATTACAGCACTAAGGTGGCACAATGGATAGAACACTAAACCTGGAGTAAGGAAGCCCTCAGGTCAAATCCTCAGACACTTATTAGCTATGCAACCCTGGGTAAATCATTTAACCAATTTGCCTCTGTTTCCTCATCTGCAAAATGGGGGTAATAATAACACTACCTCCCAGGTGAGCTCCATGAGGGCAGGGTCTATCTTCTGCATTATTTTTATCCCTGGCACTTAGTACAGTGCCTGATATACAGTAAGTACTTAATAAACACTTCCAGAGAATGGAGCCATGCCATCCTCCAAAGTTGACACAACAATCTAGCAGCCTCTAATACAAGTTACCAGATGTACAATAATCTGTCTTCACAATAATTCTGTAATATAGGTACTGCAAACATTATTATCTTTATTTTAGAGAAAAGGAGACTGAGGGTAAATGATAGACAACACACCATGGGGCCCACAGCCCTGCAGCCTAATGCTGCTAACTGTTCTGGTGAGCTACTCAGGAGCCTGTGACCAGACCTAACTAAGAGGCAAGAGCTAGGGGCTGAAATGGGTTTTACCTCCCTGGAGAAACTGAGGGGCAAATCTTAAAGAGTTATATAAATTTTAGCTATTACTGTTACTTTAGCTGTTATGAACTCTCTGCCTGGTATATCGTTCTTTGTAACAAATTTCTGTAAGTCCATGAGCTCCCTGAGAGCAGGGCTTAGATCTGTTCCTCCTTTGTCTCCCCTAGACTATAAGCTATCTGAAGACCAAGCATACCTTTTTGGGTTCCACTGCAACACCAAGCACAGAGCCCTTACACCAAGTAGATGATTTAATAAATATTTAATTGCAGGTGCATCATATTCAACTATTTCATTCTACTCCAACTTTTCCATTCATTTCCCAGCTCAAGAAGTCCCAGTTTGTCCCTATAATTTCTAGGATCAAATACAAACTCCTCTGCTTGGCATTTAAAGCCCTTTATCACCTGGCTCTAGGATTTTCTACTTTTCTAGGCTCATTACACATCATTGCCCTTCATCCACTTTGCAAAGTACGCTTCTCCTCACATATAGCTTCCCATCTCTCATCTCTACGCTTTTGCATAGGCAGAAGACCTATTCTCCATGCTTGCAACATGCTTCCTCTTCACGTCCACCTCTTAGAATTCCCAACTTCCTTCCAAACTCACCTCAAGCTCAGCTCTCCCCATAAAGCCTTTTTTGATCCCCCCAACCACTAATGCCTCTCCCATACAAAAAATTACCTAGTATTTACTAGTATATATTTTGTATATATTGCTATGTGTACATGCTGTCTTCTCCTAGGCAGAGGTTCCTAAACTTATTTGGCCTACCGCCTCCTTTTAAAAAGAAATTACTTAGCACCCCCCCGGAAATCTACTTTATTTAACCCTTTAAAAGTGTTTTTGAAATTTGTGTCACCCAAGGCTACTACCACCCCCCTGGATCATTCTAGTACCCTCCAGGGTGGTGGTATTCGCCCACTTTGGGAACCTATGCGGCCCAGAGAACATAAACTCCTTGAGGGCAGGGATTTTTTCATTTTTGTCTATATCTCCAGCCTAGCACAGTGTCTGGTGCTTGTGTAATATTTACTGGTTGATCCCTGTGCCAGGCTGGCCCAGCTGCCCTCAAGAGAAAGGAGGAGACAGATAGGGGAGAAGGGAGAGAACCCTCCTGAATCACCTCTCCCTCTCACCCACCTCCAGCCATATCATTTACCAAGGGTCTTTCACAAATTTGACTCGAATGCAAATCTATGTAGGCAGAGATGGAGTCTTGCATGTGCACCTGAGTAAAGTGTGCTTCTGGATAAACATGTGTCTATATCTGGGACACATATGCTCCTCCCTGCCCTGCCCCATGCCTCATCCCTGAGGATTTTACCTGGGACAGGTCTCCGGTCTCCCTTCTCTGGTTTGGCTTGTGGGGATTCAGAATAAGGACCAAGGTCTGGTGGGGGGTCCCCTCGCTTCACAGTTGTGCCCTTAAAATTCATCTGCAGCTGGCTGGTATATTTCTCGTGCTGAAAGGCAAGGGTCAGAAAGCAAAGGTAAGGAGAATGAGCTCCATTCCACCACCACGATGAAAAGAAAAAAATATTAATTTTTACCCATATTACTTTGTGATTATGAAGTGCTAGGGACAGTGAAGAGGAGGAAACACCAATACCTTAATAAGAGCTCCCATTCCATAATGCTTTAAAAAGCCCTTCCCTCAAAAGAATACTGTGAGATACACAGTAAAAGAATTATCCTCATTTTACAAAGGAAAAAAAACAGGATTTGAACCCAGATCTCCTAAACCTAAGTCTAGGTTTCTTTCTTCTAAACTGCACTGACTTTCAAAAATAACAACTTATATTTATATAGCACTTTAAGGTAATTTCTTTTTTCATAAAGCCCCTTACCCACAATCCTTGTGTCAGTAAGGTAAGAATCCTTATCCCCTGGGGCAGCTAGGTGGCGCAGTGGATAGCATACAGGGCCTGGAGTCAGGAGGACCTGAGTTCAAATCTGACCTCAGACCAGACACTTGACACTTACTAGCTGTGTGACCCAGGGCAAATTACTTAACCCCAATTGCCTCACCTCCCCTCCCAAAAAGGAATCCTTATCCCCATATTACAGATGAGGAAACTGAGGCTCAGAAATGGGAAGAGGCCTATCTAAGCTCATACAACTGATAAGTGGCAGAAGTTACTCTCCTAATTCTAGTGCTCTTCCAGATGAAGAAAATCCCAGATGAGAAAACCAAGGACCATAGGGGTAATTTGACTTGTCTGAAAGCACAGATGGCCATCAGCAGAGTTAGGACTGAAACTCAGGTTCTTTAATTCCAAATCTAAAGCTCTTTCCTCTACACTCTGTCCCGGACACAATACTCAGGAGTCAAGACCTGAGCCCACCTAGCCTAACTCAAGGGTCTAAAAATGCCCAGCTTTTAAATCCTTCCCTGAATCCTTCACCAAGCAGAGGGGCAGAGGGTACGGGAGTGATAGGCTGTTTTGTGATTGGAGTGAATGAAGAACGAAGGCAGTGATTTTTAGTCCAGTCAATTAGTTCAAGAAACTGGCAGAAACCTCAGCAACTCTCTAGTCCAAATCCCACCCTACCCCCATTTAACAGCAGGGGAAGCTGAGACCCACAAGAGGAAAGGCATCATTCCAAGGTCACACTGGGCCAGTGACAAAGCCAAGACCAGAATCCAGGTCTCCCAATACCCAGTTTAGCATGTCTCCAAACACACCATGCTGCTGCTTTCACAGGTTTATCATCTACCAAAACGCAGCTTGCAATTTGGAGTCAGAGGAGTTGCTACTTATCAGATGTTCACACAAGTCAATTCCCTCTCTCTTTACCTGAATTTGCTCATTTATAAAATGAGATTAGACTATATGATATCTGAGGTCCCTTTCCAGATCTCGAGCCTATGATTACTGAGGTAAGAAATAGTTCCCCTGCCCTAACTCTTAGCACTTTGCCAGGATTAAAATAACAGAAGTGAAAATATCCCATATAGTTGTTGGTGGGGTTTTTTTCTTAGGTGCTGAGGAAGAATTCTAAGGATGCATCATCATTCATTCAAAAAAAAAAAAGCCACATTTTAGAAGCTGACCCTAGAAAGAGGAAGGGGCATGAGATCCAGGAACAACAAGCCCAGAACTCCCAAGGGAATGAGATGGCATCCTCATCTGTCTCTACTTCACAGGACTTAAAAAACAAGAAGAAACCACCTGGTCCAACTTCTTCATTTTACAGATGGTGAAACTGAGGCCCAGAATTAATACCTCACTGCCAGTGTAGTAGAAAGTCAGCCCCGAATCTTGGCTACGAACTACTCATACGACTGTGAACAAGTCACATTCCCTATCTGTTTTGTTTTGTTTTGGCTAGGCAATGGGGTTAAGTGACTTGCCCAGGGTCACAAAGCTAGTAAGTATCAAGTGTCTGAGGCTGCATTTGAACTCAGGTCCTCCTGACTCCGGGGCCAGTGCTCTATCCACTGTGCCACCTAGCTGCTCCTACATTCCCTATCTGGGTCTTGGTTTCCTACTCTGCAAAATGGGGGAAAGAGGGGGAAAGTGATCTCTGAGGTTCCTTTCATCTCAAAATCCCATTATCTTATACAAATCTTGGTAGCCACTTACTGAAAGCAGGAGCTTGGGAAAATCCCTTTTCCATCTGTAGGCTTCAATTATGTAACTACATAATGAGGGGGTTGGATTACATGGTTGCTACAGTCCCTTTCAAATCTAAATCCTATATATTAAAATAAATGGAACATGAGTAAAGGGCTTTACAAGCTACACCATCTTCCTTACCTATTGTCTCATTGGAGCCTCATAACAGCCCCGGGAGAGAAGCAAGGCAGGGATTATTATTATCCTCATTTTATAGATGAGGAGACAAACCCATTTGGAGAGAAGAACTTGCCAGAGGTCAGACAGTGATTGGCAGAAAGAAGGGCCCCCGTGTACGAGAAGAAAGACTTCCCTCACTGCCTTGTGATGGACTAAAAGAAAGGCCAGCACTGGGCTTGTGCCACAGGGCACTGGCCTCCCCTCCAGAAGCTGCCCAGTGACTTACCTTCAGAGCCTCTTCAGGGACCTTGTGCTGGACGTGTTCTAACACATACAGGTTGGAGTGTAGACAAAGGTATTAAGGAAAGTACAGCCGTGAGGGGCCCTGTCCTATGAGCACAGAGACAAAGCACCTCGAGGAAGCAGAGGGCTTTTGTTCACTGTAAAGGTGTGAAGAAAAAAAGGCAGCTCAGAACCATGGAACATCCAGGCTTACAAAATGCATTCTTCTCAACCCAGCCATCCTACGAGGTGAGGAGCACAAATTTAGTTGTTTTTTTCGGGGGGGGGGGATTTTTTGGTTTGTTTTTACAGACTCAGAGAGGAGCAGTAACTTGCCCAGAATCACACAGTAACACAACCAGGATTGGAGCCCAGGCCTCCCAAGTCCCATGACCCCACTTCCATTACCCCATAGCATCTACCAACAAACTCTTTCACAAGAAATCACATTAACGTGGGGTGCTACTGGGGCAACAGCAAACGGCTCAGACCCGATGATCCCCACCCATCTCCTCACAACAGGGGTTCCCCATTGCCAATGAGATAAAATACACACTCCTTTGTCTGGCACTCAAGGCCCTACACAATTTGGCTCTAACCTCCATTTCCATTATTATTTCATACAAATTCTCACAGATTCTGATTCAGCCAAAGACTCACCTCCATTCCTCGATCTCGTCCTGCCCTCTCCTACTTCCTAATTCCATTCAGTCAAGCCCATCCCCATTTCCTGGAATGTATTCTCTCTTCATCACCACCTGATGCAATCATACTCTCCTTCAAAGCTCAGCTCAGATGCTCTCTGAAGCCTTCTTTGCTTCTCTCTCTATTCTCCACCTCATGAAAACGACCTTCTCTTCCTGATATTTTCCTCGAACATGTCTGGATTGCTCCTTACATCATACTTACTTCCCTACTCCTCGATTCAACAGTAAGATCCTGGAGGGAAGAGACAGGTATTTTTTCATCTCTGGATGCCCAGCATGAAGCAGAGAGCCTTGCCAAATAACTGCACTTAATATAAGTTTTTTAATCGAATTGTTAGGTGGCAGGAGAATGGCAGATCTAAAACCAGGAGACTTCAAAAGTGGTCTAGTCCAACCCCGTCATTTTACAAATTCCAGTAAACTGAATTTTGCCTCAACCACAAAGGGTTAACTAGAGATGAGTACAAATATAAGGCTAGGCAGAGAGCTCAACTTCTGTTCAGATGTTAGGAATTTTCTTAACTAGGGGCTCAGAGGGATTGTGACCATTCAGAAAGTTTTCTCTAAAATCAACTCCCCAAAGCCAAAGAGGAGAGAACCAAGTAGACTTAATGGGTCACCATATTGCCTGTACTCTTAAAATGAGTTAATTATTGCTGTGGGATGTTACATTAGCTATGACTCTGGGCAAGTCACTTGCTTCCCTGGGGCTCAGTTTCCTGATCCGTACAATGAGGCAGCTGGACTCATTGGGTTCTAAGGTCCCTTCCAACCCTAAATCTATGATTCTATAAGGTTTTATAACCTGCTATTTCAAAGGCCCTAGAAGCAGAAAAATTGAATGGTTTTATCTCTGCAGCCTCTGCCTTCCCAGTCTCTGACTGACCAGAGCCACAAGACTGAGGCAAGAGTAGAAGGGGTGATGGGAAGGTACTCTGGCACCTTCAAAACTGCCCACTAGAGAGATGCTCCAGGTGTTGGCTCGATGAGGATGGTTCTCTGGCAATCCCACATCTCTCCAGCCCCACCACCCACAGCTGATATTTCTCCCTTCTCTTCTCACTTCTTTCAGACCCTAGAGCCAGATCTATGTAGCTAGTACTTAATGGACCCCAGTCTATGTCTTAATCATGAGTCTTCCTTCCTCTAGACTTTAATAAGCAATGGCAGAGTCCTCCCTTCCCAGAGAATCACACACTCTCAGATTTGGAAGGTATCTCATAAGCCCATTTGTTTATGACCTTCCTGGAAAAATGAAACATTTGGTAAGGCTCCTACTGTGTTTCAGGCATCACAGGCAAAAGAAACACAAAGACACAAAGTTGTCTTGAGGAGCTTACATTTTATAGGGGGAGACAACGCATATACAAACATATATGAAATAAATACAAAAGCGGGGCTTTTTGGAGGGGTGACTAGAGAATCAGAAAAGGCTTCACATAGGAGGGAGTACCTAAGATGAGCTCGGAAGGAAACAAAGGTCTCTAAGAGGAAGACTTGAGGAGGAAGGTCATTTAAGGCATGGGGAACCGCCTGTCAATCTTCAACAAGTGGTGACCTATCCTCCACTTGAAAACTTCCAGGGGTAGAGGGGCCTTACCTCCTGAGGCGGCCCATCCTATTTGTGGACAGTTATAATCACTATGGATTTTTCCCTTATGATAAACTCAAACAGTCTCTGCATTTTCTATGCCTTTCATTGTTCCAGGTTTTGCTTCCTGGGGCCAAATAGAATAAAACTAATTCCTCCAACCCTTCAAATACTAGAAGACACTAAACACACCCATTCCTTCAACTGATATTTACATTTCATAGTCTCCAGTCTCCTCAATCTTCAGGCCAGTGTCCTTTAGACACAATAAAACTTGGTAAGGTCCTTCCTGAAACATCCAGAACTGAACATCCTACTCTAATGACTAGGATAAAGGCCAGTAGTATGACCACTTTTCTCACGCTATCTATTATGCCTTTCTCTTTGAGTCAAGGAAAGAATTAGTTTTCTTGGATGTAATGTCATATTGTTTACTCATTTGCTTTCCATTAAAAGATCTTCTCAGGCACAAACTTGCTTAATTACCCCGCCCTCATCCTGTACTTCTAAAGTTGATTGTTTGAACCCAAGTGAAGGACTTTATATTTATGACTACTACATTTCATCTTCCTCCACCAAGTCCTCCTTGGATGCCTTACCATGGCATGAAGGTGACTCCAGGTCCTATGCCAGCAAGGTATATGCTCTGTCAGGTTCTACCAGACTGAAAAGGTTTTGACTACAGTCCAGGCAAAAAAGCAACTCTTTTATCCAAGAACCAGATTTGCTAAGTATGAAGATGTGCCTGACAAAAAAGTTAGCCTCTGATGAATTATTTGGCAATGGTAATTCATGACACAAAGAAAAATACAAAACAATAATAATAATAGCTAACATGTATACAAAGTTTACTATGTGCCTTGCACCTAAGTGTTTTATAATTTATTATCTCATTTCATCTTCACAACAACCTTAGGAGATAAGTGCTATTATTATCCCCATTTTACAGATGAAGAAATTGAGGCAAAACAGAGGTCATGACTTGCCCAGGTCCTCAGTTCTGTGTGGCTCCCTTCTGCAGAGGCAGAGTAATGGAAAAAGGAAGACAAAAGGTGCTAAGAACCACAGTTTGGGTTTTTTTTTTAATTTTTAGGCAATTGGGGTTAAGTGACTTAACCAGAATCACACAGCTAGTAAGTGTCAAGTGTTTGGTCTGAGGCCGGATTTGAACTCAGGTCCTCCTGACTTCAGGGCCAGTGCTCTATCCACTGCACCACCTAGCCGCCCCTAAGAACCACAGTTTTTAGACTGCCTATAAAAATAACAACTATTGGTCCTCTAAATGTGAGATCTTTATCCAACGACCAACAAACCAACATATGATCAGAACACTCAAATTACTTAAACATCAATGGTATTAAAACCAAAACAAAACAAAACCAAAGTCAGAAGGAAGTTTCAACTACAAAGAATGATGATTAACAGGTTTTCCTTGAAAAGAAAAACAAAGGAATTGACCAAGTGGGTTCTGCTGTCTGCCCAAAGTCAAGAATCACAGTCTCCTGGGACATTGGGTCATCTTGTCTTGCCAAGCTCATGATGAATATAAGCAAAAATGCCACCACTGAAGACAGCTGAAGCTGATGTGCCAACATCTGTTGTAGAGGATGAAGAGGTACAGAAATTCTTTAAACAACCTGACATGCTCCTTCATATCAAGTCTGCATCCATTTTGATATTCAGTGATTTCAATATGGCAGGAGGCACAAGAGAGAAATGTGAACAGTGTGTTGGAAAACATGGTTCAGATTTGAGAAAAGAGGTCCAAAGTTTATAGATAATCTAGAAAAAGGTCAGAAGGTGCTAGATATCGTAAGCAGCAAAGATCAACCTCCCCCCAAAAATGAAACTGATTATATGTTGTTGTTGTTCAGTTGTTTCAATGATGTCCAACTTTTCATGACCCCATTTGGGGTATTCTTGGAAAAGATACTAGAGCAGTTTTCTATTTCCTTCTCCAGCTTATTTTACAGATGAGGAAAGTGAAGCAAACAGGGTTAGGTGACTTGCGCAAGGTCACACAGTGAGTAAGTGTCTGAGGCCAGACTTGAACTCAGGAAGATGAGTATTCCTGACTCAGAAATGGCATTCTATCCACTGCATCACCTGACTGCCCTGATTATGTTAGAAGGTAGGAAACAACTGGTTTCTGAGAAGTAGCAGGGTGTGTAATGGATAGATTGCTGGATTTGGAATCATTAGGACCCAGGTTTAAATCCTGCCTCAGATACTTATTAGCTTTGTGACCATAGACAAGTTACTTAACCTCTTTGGGCCTTAGTTTCCCCATCTGAAAAATTATCTCTAAGGTCCCTTCCAACTCTAAACCTATGATCTTATGCTATGATTGGTTCATAAGGACAATTCCAATCTATGATCCTCTATGGGAGTCATGTCAGACCAGACTAGTTAAACCAAAAGTCAAAGTCAACATCAAATCAGAAGAAAGGATAAAGGGCGAGGAGATACCAAATATATATGATAATTTCAACCTGACCTATTCAAAATAAGCCATTGATGCTGTAAAAAAAAAATACTAAATGAAAAATGCAAAGATGTCACCTTTAATCATCACTATTTTATGCAAAAGTTTTTAATAATGTAAAGCAATCTCCAGAATAAGTAGACCTACAGAGCACAGACCCCACTTCATTTCTGTGCTCAGCAGAGCAATATGGCGTCCAAGGACACCACCAGTTTAAAACACAAACTCATTTGCAAAACAACATAGGAGGACAGGAAAAGGACCAAGCTCACCCCATAAAACAAAGGAACATGGAAGCTTGGTTTGAAATATGATTGATCCACATCATCCTGTGAGCATGCTTAGCTGAAATCAGCAGAACAGAAAGACAGAAAAGGAACCAATTTGCCAATGTTTCTAATTATTATCTATTTTCACCAAGAATGACAGAGGAAACACCATATTTGGACCCTGAAATTTCAGTCTCTGATATGCTATTTTAGGAAGTAGAAATGGCATTTGAGGATAAAGTCTGGAACAACGGCTGTGCCTGAGCAAGTACACACCAAGAGAATGTGTGCTCTTGCTAACACAATTTTGAGAGCACAGAAGAAACATTTTGTGAGACAGACCAGGGAAGGGAAGATACCAAAAGAATAGGAGTGGGGGAGAATATGCATGATATTATTAGCCCAAAAATGTGATTGAGAAGACATCAATAACTACCAACCCTTTTCTCATCTTGATCACAGCTTTATGAGAATGATCTAGACATGTTCTGAGGATATTCTAGACAAAAATACAAGAATGAAAATAGAAAGATTTTTAGAAACTGTTTTGTCCTAAAGATCATGTGTTTATTGGCTATAAGTTAAAAAGAATACAAGATCCCATTGTGTTTATTAGTTGCTGATTACCAAAAAGCATTTGATGAGGTAATGTAAAACACAGCATTAAAAATTTTCCTCCTACAAAATATTTCTTATGCATATGTAAGATCAGAATACATCAGGAGGAAAAGCACTGGTTCTAGAGTCAGAAGACCTGGGTTCAAATCTCACCTCTAGCACTTACTACCTGGTATGACCCTGGGCAAGTCACAATCTCCCTGGTTTTCTGTTTCCTTATATGTAAAAAGTGGGGGATAAACTAGATGGCTTCGAGGGTTCCTTCCACTCCTGAATCTATGATCAAACAAGATTTCTTGATAAGTATCACCACAAAAGTGTCTCTGTTCCACAGCCTCAGAAAATTTGGAAAATTGAGCAGCATTTGAGAAGTAATCCCAAAGTGCTCTATGGCACAAATCCCTAACTTTTTAACTCAAATGTTTTTTCTAGGAATGCTGCATGGCTACAAATCTTCAAAAATCTCAATCTCCAAACGATTAAAGCTGTGAGTGCCCCAGAAAGCAATGGAGAGACACATGGTGAGTTCAAGTAGGATTCTGTATATTTCCAATGGTGACCTACATGCAAGTAATATAAAGGGAATAGAGCTGAGGAAATGTATGAGTAGTGGTGTCAAAAAGACTACCAAGGAACATACCATGGCCTTGGTTTTGGGGAGTTCATAGCCTGGGAGTGTGGAGGTGGTGGGGTGAAGATGTGAATCAAAGGCTAGCTCGTGTATTGCATGATGTTCAGTAGCTAATAAAAACTTAAAAGGTTAAAATAATGGGCCAAATCTAATAATGTGAAATGTTTTCTTCAGTGGATCTGCAGTCCTCATTGATGCAGTCTCTCCAGCAGTGCAGATCACAGCAGGTGCGCTGGCCAGGTCATGAGAATAAGGGATAACCAATGAACAGCCCAAGCACTACATAGGTAAGTAAGGAGACCTAAAGAAAGTCCTCCAAGCATGTCAGTAGCTCTTCTGCAGAATAGAGGGAGGGAAGCAACCTCTGTGGAAAAGGACCCTGCCATCCCGGCTAACTAACAAAATAACTACTACCTTTAGGGCTGGCAAGCTATGGCAGCAAGGCACCCTGAGAGTGAGATAAGAGAAGGCATGATGCGCCAGGCAGATTGCAACACCACCACCATCTCAATCTCTCTCCTCCCTGGAACTCTAGTGACCCTCCCCCGAATCCAAATGCCCTGAGAATTGCGGCATCCCCCAGACTACCGACCCTGCTGTCAGCCACAGCTACTATTTGTTGTTATTGCTGTTCTGTGATTCAGTTATGTCCAACTCTTCATGACCTCATGGACCAGAGCAGGCCAGGCCCTTCTTCCCTCTGCTATCTCTCGAAGTCTGTCCAAATTCATGTTCATTGTTTCCATGACACGATCTATCCATCTCATCCTCTGCCGTCCCCTTTTCCTTTTGCCTTCAATCTTTCCTGCAGCTATCACAGAAGGAAGTAATGCTTGTGGAGGAGAGGCCCACCATCCCTACCACTCACCATCACCAACTGCGGACCAGCTGCCACTGACGGACAAGTGAGTCTGAAGGTATTGGAAGTCTCCCCATCTGTCCCCTCCAATCCCCCCAAATCCTCCCCCTCCCACCAGCCTTGCTTCCAGCCTGACCTACTTTTCTTTGTGTATCTCCATTGCTTAGCACAGTGTTTTGTAATCTTAGGTACTTAAGTGCTTTTTCATTCATTTATTTATTCATTCAACATCTATGAGACAACATGGACAAGATTCATAAAGGATGAGGATACATGGATTGGCTGTGATCTGCTCCTGCTGGGGAGACTACATCAATGAGGACCGCAGATCCACTGAAGGAAACATTTCACTTTATTCAATTTGACCCATTATTTTATCCCTTTAGGTTCTTTTTGGCTCCTGAATATCACCCAACATGCCAGCTATCCTTCTCTGCTTCACATCTCCATCACTCCACTCCCCCACCCAGGCCTTGGTTTGTTGCCCTCCTCTGTTGCCCTCCCAGACGATGAGCTCTCTGAAGGCAAGGCCCAAGTCTCCTTCTCTGCCTCTCCCATATCATGAACTCCCATCTCTCCCACAGAGTAACTGCCAAACACAAGGCTAAGCAACAATTGGGAAATGCTTGTTAAAATGTATTCAACTATTCACAAAAATAAAGGGGTATAGTAAGGACATCAAGAGAAGGAGGGATACGAAAAATAGGATAAATAACAGAAAAATGGATAAATAACAATCTCACATGGTGACGACCTTCCTAGCCCTCTACTTGTCAACCACAGTTTCTAGCCCCAGGGACGTACACGCTAAGCTATCTATCCCTTCCTCACCTGGTCCCCCTTGGGGCCAACGGTCAATCAAAAATGTTTATTCAGAGGTCAGGAGCCCAGAAATAGGTCTTCTCTCTCTCTCTGGGAGGCTGAGTGGCCGGCACAGGGATGAACACGTGACCTTGGCCTCATCACTTCCCTCTAACTACCTGAATGAGCTATGAGCGCACCATCCAGCTGCTGCATGAATGAATATCACCTGATGAACTTCACAGTTTGACGTGTTGGGGCTGCCTCTGCAGGACCAGAAAAAGTCTGGCTCTCAGAGAAGTGAGAGACAGGCAGAAACAGAGGGGGTGGGAAAAAATAGGGAAACCCCAGGAAGACCCAGACCACAAAAAAAGGATATCGTAGCCAAAGCGGATAACGTCGTTGAGTTTCAGAGTGACATATTTCTGGTCAGGGATGCGCACGTCATTCACAAACGTCTGTGTGGAAAAAGGAGATGGGGGTTAGACTGAAGCAGAGGCCTTGTTGCTAACTCTCTTTTTACCCAAAGAAGGATTATCCTGGGTAGAGAGATGTTGAGTTGTAGGCAGGTAATGCCTCCCAGGACCCTGCTGAACTCTCTCTCTGCCTCCCTCTCCCCTATCATTCCTGATGTCCTGGAATAAACACAAGTTAAAGCTGGTTTGCAGAGGCCAGGGCTACGACACGGCAAGCCTGATAAATCATCTGAATAATGACTGGCATTCTCTAGCAACTTGAGGTTTACAAAGTGCTTTCTTCACAATAGCCTCGAGAGGAAGCACAAAATATCAGAGGCCCCATTTAAGAGATGAGAAAAACTGAGGCTCCAAGACAGGAAGTGACTTGTCCAAGGATACACAGGTTTTAAATATTTCAGTCAGGATTCAAACCCAGGTCTCTCCTAACTTCAAATTCAGTAGTACTCTTTCCACTACAACACAATAGACTGGCCCCAGAATTCTCTTGTGAAATTCCACATAAAGAACATGAACCTGTTGCCAAAATTGTATACAGTAACACTCCAGGCTCTCCAGAAACCTTGGAACATGAGCCACAGTGAAAATTTCCCAGGTATCTAAAGTCTCACCTTTCTAAGCAATAAGACTTTAAAAATTATTTTAAATTACTCAGATTGAAAAACTTCCAAAAATATACCACACATGTCCCTGACAACCTTAAAGAAAGGTCACTGGACAGTGTTTCTAGCTTTTTCCTTATTGATGTGGGTCATCAATATAAATATAAACCAACTACTATCTTTGGAAAGTCACTTCTTCTCTCTGGGCCTCAGGGTCCCTATAGGTAAAAATGGTGACAAGGGACTATTATCAGGAAGGACACTTAGTTTACTGTAAAGCACTATAGAAATATGAGCTCAAAAAGGGACACAGTGATGCTTTCTGCAGTGACTGAGAATTGTTCCTGCTTGTCTCTACACCAAGTGGCTCCAGACAGATGGATTATCTCTTTTGGGGAAAAACATGATAATTCACATTTATAAACTTCTATCTCAACCATAGCTACTCATAGGCCAGATTCTGTTAGCAATAAGCACGGAAGCTTTGTCCTTCTCTGTTTCCAACCTAGCCAGTTTGACCCTCCTTGGGTAGCCCCACCCCCATTCTGGAGACTCACCACATTGATGTCTAACTCAGCTTAAACATCATTTCAGCTTAGCCTACTGAAGCTGAGAACTCCTAAGCTCAAAGGATCCATCAGCCTCAACCTCCTCAATAGCAGGAATTACAGGCATAAAACTATATTTTATCATACTTTATAAAATTCACATATATTTAACCCTTTGTGTTTATAAAGCATCCTTGTAACAGCCCAGTAAGTTGAATATAATTGTTAATACCCCCATTTTAAAGATGAGGTACAGGGAAAAGAAAACTGGTTTTGGAGTTTAAGAACCTGGGTTCAAATTGCAATTCTTCCACTAACTACCTGTGTGACATTGGGCAAGTCACTTAATTTTCTGTGTCTGAATATCCTCATCTATAAAATGAATGGTTTGGTCTAGATGACAGGTTCTTAACCATGGGTCCACACATTTGTTTTCTTAACATTCTGATAATAGTTTTTCAATATACTTGGTTTCCTTCACAATCCTAAATATTTTATTTTATGTATTTAAAAGCATTTTTGTGAGAAAGGGGCCCATAGGCTTCACCAGGCTGCCAGAGAGGACTATAACACACACAAAAAGGTTAAGAATTCTTGGACTAGATGAACCATAAAGGAGCCAGCCTTCCAACTTTGAATCTACATACAATGCAGCTAAGCTATTCAAGCTTTAAACTGCACTATGATATTTGGGACACCCTGTATAACCCTATGAAACTCAGAAGTATAGTGACATGCCCATTGTCATAGAACCAGAATTGGAACTTGGGTCTTCTGATTCTGGCATCCTTTTCTCTATACTCCACTATTTCCTTGAGCACATTCTGACCCTGTAAAAATTTTAAAATAATAACTCAAAGACACTAGCTACAAGATAGTCATTCAATCACCCCTGACCTAGCTGTTGTTGTCATTGTTATTGTTGTTGTTGTTGTTCAGTTACGTCCAACCCCATTCGGGGTTTTCTTGGCAGAGATACTGGAGCGTTTGCCATTTCCTTTGCCAGCTCATTTTACAGATCAGGAAATTGAGGCAAACAGGGTGAAGTGACTTGCCCAGGGTCGCACTGCTAGTGTCTGGCTGGATTTGAACTCAGGTCTTCCTAACTCCAGGCCCACCGTCTATCCACTGTGCCACCTAGCTGTCCTTTAGATCTTTAGAAAAGCAACTGGGACAGTGGGAGGATAGGGGACAAGGGGCTTTGACATTTACTTATTTTTTATTTAAGGCTCAAAAGAAGCATTAAAAAGGTAAGACTTTTATATTTATTGATATACAATTATGGGCAAATCACTTTCTTCTCTGCCTCAGTTTCCTCATCTGTAAAATGAGGGTAGTAATTGAAGAGTCACCTATATAACAGCCCTCTCAATACTTTTAAGCAGCTATCGTGTTTTTCCTGAATCATTTTCCCCTAGCTGAACACACCCAGTTTCTTGAACCAATCCTCATATACAATGGACTCAAGACCCTTCTTCATCCTGGTTGCCTGGACACTCATCAGTTTGTCAATGTCCTTCTTAAACTATATGACACCCAGAAGTGAGCATGGTACTCCAGGTCAGGTCTCAGGAGGGCAGAGTACAACAGGATTATGAGCTCCCTCACTAACTCTTGGAAGCTATGGCACCCTTAATGCAGGTTCCAAATGCCATCAGCACTTTTGGCTGTCATATTACAATGCAGACTCATATTGGTCTGGTAGGTCACTAAAATCCCCAGATCTTTTTTCAAAACGTTTCTATCTTATATTTGTGAAGAGGGTTTTGTTTTGTTTTGACAGACAAGTGCAAGACTTTTACATTTATCCCTATTGCATTTCATTTTATTAGATCCAGCTCAGACATTTAACCATGAGGTCTAATGCTTTTGAGCATGGACTCTTGTCATCCAGTGTGTTGGTTAGTTATTCCTCAGGTTTTGTGTCATCTGCAAATCTAATGAGCACACCACCATTCCAGTAGTTCACTTTCATTCAAGTTATTGATAAAAATGTTGGAAAGCCTGAGAGGGGAAACAGGTCCAGAAAACTTCCAAGCAAGGCAAGGAAAAAGGGGTCACTTATAACCCACCTTCTCATCCTCCCCATTTCAACCTCACACATGGGCAAAGTTCTTCAATCTAGCCCAAATAATTCCTGCTGCAGATGAAGCACTTTTCCTCTGCTACCCACAGAACAGTGGACCCCCCCTTCTCCTATCTCAACTCAAAGGGAAATCACAGGTTATTTCTCCCACCCTGGTAGCCCCAAAGCTTTCTCTAGCAAATGAGATATTTGTTGCTACATTATTCTTTTTTAAAAAATTTTTAGTTTTCAACATTCATTTCCACAAGATTTTGAGTTCCAAATTTTCTCCCCATCTCATCCCTCCCCCCACCCCAAGATGGCATGCATTCTGAATACCCCTTTCCCTAATCTGTCCTCCCTTCTATCTCTCCCCCCCCCTTCTCTTATCCCCTTCCCCTTCAATTTTCCTGTAGGGCAGGAGCAAATGAGATATTTGTAAAGTGCTTAGTACAGTGCCTGGCACACAGTAAGTGCTTAATAAACACTTGTTCCTTTGTTCCTCCCTCTATCTAGGCTAAAGACCCCTCCAGTCCCCTGATTCTCTTTCCAAAAAGATCTCACTCCCCAACCCTCTTTCTAATGACTTGTAGTTGCCTTTGCTTAGTGATATGCCCTCAAGAAATATCCCCCTCTCCCCTAACAGAATTAGAGTCACCTGAAGAAGGAACTATTTGGAAAAATACCCCTTCTTCCCACCCTCCTTACTGCCCCCTCAGCAGCTATGGCAACAGGGGACTGGAGGCAAGGGAGGAAACACAGACCAGTCCTCAGGGAAGTTGGAGACCCCAGAGGTCAACTCACCCCATTTAAGCTGCCAAGATCTTTCACCCAGTGCTCGTCTTTATCCTGGTTATAGTTGATGACTGCGTGCTGCTTGTCCACACTTCGAGACTGAGGAGGGAGGGAGGGAGAGAGAGAGTCAGATCCATGTATTCCCCCAGGCAGACCCCTCCTCCTCTGCCTCCCAACCTTCCTACAACGACTTAGTAGCCCTGCCTTTCTGCTCTGAAAATTGCTCTTCCCAGGACATTACACCAAAAAACCTGCAGCATCCCTTCTCCATGATCTCTAAAAGGGGTGGAGGGGAACCTAAAATGTCAATGTGGCAAGATTTCCTCAATTTATAGAGGAGGAAATTGAGGTCCAGATGGGACAAGTGATTTACTCAACATCACACAGCAATCTAGCAGAAGAAAAAGAACTGGAACCCATGTCTTCTAATTCCAGACCAGGGCTCTTTCTACAGATGTTTAGGTTTGTTCCCCACCCCACCCCACCCTGCCCCAATCACTCCTGTAATTTCACTGGCATGGTGAACTTCCTGAGAGGAAACTATCTCCATGAGGTGATGGAGTTGGTAAAGCAATGGACAGTGTTGAGCTTGGATTCAAGAAGATGCTGGCCTCAGACACTTACTATCTGTGTGACCCTGGCCAAGTCTCTTAACTGCTCACAGCCTCAGTTTCCTCATCTGTAAAGTGGGAATAATGATAGTACCTACTTCATAGGATTGTTGCAAGGTTCAAATGAGTTAATATTTAGAAAACACTATGCAAAAAAAAAATATACAGTGCTCTACAAATGGTGGCTACTATTACCAATTCAGATCATCAACTTCCCTGCAGTGCAGGGTCTTGGAGATTTGTTTGGAATGCTGAAAGGATAACTGACTTCCCCAGGGCTGCACAGCTAGTATGTATCATAGACTGGATTTGAACTCAGGCCATTCTGATTGCAAAACTGGCTAACCACTACACTACAGATCTGTAAGGCTGTGTAAATTGGGACCACACCAATATTTGCTTCAAATCTCCCAAGGCTGTGTCCCACTGCCTGGTTAACCTCAGAGTTTCCAGTAGACCTAAGCCTCAGGGGGAGGGTGGGGAGGGTTTGCCCTATAAATTCCCATAGAAGAAAAAATGCCACTCCTGCCAAGGGAGGCTTTATAATCTCCAGCAGAAATCTTGTTCTGCTGCTCATTGTTCCCAACCCTGGCCATGCCCAAACCCACCTATTTTTTAGCCTTGTCCCCTTACCCTAAATCAGACTCAGTCCAAGATACCCCCCCCCAGGCAGAATGCACAGAGGGACCCAGGCCTAGTGAGGAGCTTCCAGATTTGAGCTAAGGGAAGGAATTTCAGGGCCAGCTCCAACATCAACCATGACAGCACCCTCCATGCTGGCCAGCCAACCAGGGCCATAGTCATGCTGGTAGCTCCACCATCTTCCCCAACTCCAGGCCCCTCCACTCGGGTATCAGCCTAGGGGACCCATTTCTCCCTGCAGGAAGCATTGCTTCACCTGACCTTCACAGAACATGGCCTTTATTCCTCTCAACACCCTGGACACCATCCTTTGGTTGTGTCCCTAGGGTGACCAAAATCCTTCATTCTAAATATAGGCTCACAATTGGTCAACATATAACCTGACAAGAGCAAAAGACAGCAGGAGTATTACCTTCCCCATTCTGGAGACCTGGCTTCTCACTGGAATTTGTGCAGTTTCTATACCATATCTCTAACCACCCTATCCAGCACCAGGTATACCTTCTCTCAGATCCTCCAACATAGTAAGCCAAGAAATTGGGCACGCATACTCCTTGTTCCCCACTGCCATTTCCAGATCATCCATCCATTTGCCACCATCATTCAGGCCCCTCTTTTCCTCCAAAGTTCACTCCCACGTAGCATCCTATTCAGATTCCAGCTAGAGTTACTTGGAGGCCCTCAAGCCAATCTTCCTCACGTCTCAATAAGATTAGCTCATGTTTATATAGCTATTTAAGGTCTGAAAAACACTTTACATACATTCTCAGTTATCTTCACAACAACCTTGTAAAGTAGATGCTATTATTCAGTTATTCTGTCTCGTTGGACTCTGTGACCCTGTGGAGCACAGCATACCAATACTGTCCATGAGGTTTTCTTGGCAAAGATACTGGAGTGGTTTGCTATTTTCTTCTCCAGTGGATTAAAGCAAACAGAGGTTAGGTGATATGCCCAGGGTGCCCAGGGTCACACAGCCAATAAGTGTCTAAGGCCGGATTTGAACTCAGGTCTTCCTGACTCCAGGCCCATAACTTTAGTCACTGAGCCACCTAACTGCCTCCGTAACATAGATGCTATAATTCCCTAGTTTATAGTTGAAAAAAGTGAGGCTCAGAGGCTAAATGACTTGTCATACAGCTAGTAAGTACCCAAAGTAGAATTTGAACCAATCAATCAATTGATAAACATTTTCAAGGGCCTGCTACATGCCAGGCACTGCGCAGTGCTCTGTCCACCACACCATGTTGCCTCTCCTAAAATTCAGTCCCTGACTCACTCTTCTTCTCTACCCTGCCCTCCCTTGAAGACTTCCATATACACCCAGTTCATACTCCTCCTCAGTTCCCATATCCTGCACCTTCACTACAGCTCAGCCACACACACTTTCATCTCACCATCACCTGTAACTATTCTATCTATATGATTCAAGAACTCTGAAATTCCTCTCTCTGATGACTGCCTTCTATCTATCCATCTCTCTCTACCAACCAAGTCAATGGCGTCCTCATTGCAAACTTTGGTAATTCCACCCCTCCCAGTACATTCCATCTTGCTCTAACCTCACTTTCCCCTCTTTGCAATCCACACCCTATAATTGACCAATCCCATCATACAATCTCCTTTACTCTCAAAGCTTTTTCCCCTTGTCCCATCAGTATTTGGGCCTTGCTGAGTGCCACCAATGGGTTACCTCCACCATCCACCTTCTCTGCTTCTATTCTACAGCTTTTGAATGCTGTTGGATAAAGTCACACAATTTTGCTGACTAGGTCTGCTGTACATTGATCTTTACTCAACTAGGTCTTCACTGCTGCATGAGAGTCTTCATTCTTCCTTGACTGATTCTCTATCACACCCCTCATAGTGGTGGCTGTACCAAATTTCTTCTCAAGTTTCCTACATTCCCCCTTCCTTCTTAGCAGAGAGCCTCACCTACTTTACTGAGAAAGTAGAGGCTAGGTAGCCCCAATATCCAATCAATGGCCATGTTTTGTCTAATCTACTTCTTCAGGCAGCATGGTACCATGGGAAAAACACTGACCATGACAGAGGATCCAAATTTAATTCTGGGTTCTGCCACTTATTAGCCATATGACATTTGATAAATCATTTACCCTCTCTAGGACTCAGTTTCCCCATCTGTAAAATGAGGGGTTTGGACTAGGTGGTTGGTAAGGACTCCTCTAGTTCTAAATCTGGGATCTCTATGATTGTATTGGTCCCCTTCACTCTTACATGTCCCATTTGGGGCCCTGGTTCAGGTTCCCATCACATGTCTCTTGCAACAGTTTCCTAATTGGACTCTCAGTTTCCAATATCTTCCTTCTCCAATCTAGCCTCCAAAGACCTGCCAAAATAATCTTTCTAATGTACAACTCTGATGATATCAGTGGCTCTATTCAACCTTTGGTGACTCCTTACATGAGGGGAGGGGGAGAAAAGGGAATAAGCATTTACTGAGCACCTACTACATGCCAGGAGCTCTGCTAAGCACTTTTTCACAAATATTACTTCATTTGATCCTCACAACAACCCTGTGGGGATAGGTGCAGTTATTACCCCCATTTTACAGTTGAAGAAACTGAGGCAAACAGAGGGAAGAGAGCATGAGAGAACTTCGTCCAGGGTCACACAGTTGTCTGAGTTTCTGAAGCCGGATAAAATACACATTCATAACTTGGTCAGTTAAATCTCTTTACAATCTACTCTCAGGTTGATTGTACATTCCTTACCTTCCAGTACTCTATACTACTCTATACCAAACTGTGCTACCTAATATTCCATGAACTGGCACTCCCTTCTCTCCTTCAACTCTCCAGCTTCGTTTTTATCTCCCCTGGTGCACCACCTCCTGCCAGAAGCCTTTGCTGACCCCCATAGCTGATAATACTCTCTTCTCTCCAATTATCATGTATATGTATCTGTTTACATGTACCTAGTTACGTAGAATTGTTCCCTCCCCCACCCCCCCTTAGAATGTGAGCTCATAAAGGGCAGGGACTGGGTCTGGTTTTTTTTTTATTTTCCTTCTTCGTTGCAACCACAGAGCTTAGCACAGTGTCTGGCTCATAGTAAGCCCTTAATAAATGCTAACTGACTTATTATATTCCCACAATGAAATCTAAGTTCCTTGGGAGCAGAAATTGTTTTTCTCTCTTTGTATCCCTGGTGCCTACTAGAATGATTCCCTCTTTCTCCCCCCCACCCGAAGGGAGGTGAGAGGGAAGGAGAACAAGCATTAATTAAGGGCCTACTATGTGCCAGGCACTATATAAAGCACTTTACAAATCTTATGTCATTGGATCCTCACAAAAAACCTAGGAGGTAGATGCTATTATTATCTCCATTTTACAGTTGAGGAAACCACAGCAGACAGATTAAGTGACTTGCCCAGGATCACCTAGTTAGTGTCTGAGGCTGGATTTGAACTCAGGGTTTGACTCAAGTCAGGGCCTACTCAAAGTGTTCTATATACACTGCCCTACCTAGCTGCTTCGGAGGGCAAGGAAAAGGAGAAGCAGAGGCTAAACTGTGATTTCATCAGCAGGAGGAAATCTCAGTGAAAAAACTCCCACTGCCAACTCATCATGCTCTGTACCTTAGAGAATTAGAGTTGACTAGAGTGCCCAGAGGCCTCAAGTGACTTTCCCAGGGTCAAACAGCCAGCGGTTTTCCTGACTTTGAAGCAGGTCCTCATCTTTATCTACCATAATGCCTTGCATGGGGGCAAGACATCTTGTTTTTGCACCAGACCTGTAGTTTCATCAGCACATGGGACTCCAGTACATATCAGTGACTACTCTGCCTGTAATAGGTGCTTGTGGCAAACTGAATTCAATCAGG